CTGGTGACCAACCAACCAGCAATTAGCGTAGGATTGAAACTATAAAAACGTTGACAATCAAAATAATACTATTTCCAGCCAATTATTTCTTGGGGTTAGAGTTCCCCCTGAGAGTTCCAAAAATATTTTTAAAATTTTTTTTGTTTATACATATTTTTGTATGTATGTATTTATATGTCCTAGTGCATACTTATGCAATGTAGAAATTTAGTTGAAGTACATTTTCTTTGGATATACCGTTAAAATGAAATTCTTGTATACGGAGTGTGTCACCGAAATTATTTACAACCGAAATCCGTTATAGTTATGTATGTACATCAATGCACAAAGCCAACCGTCTTCAGATGGAAGAGATTTCTGTGACTCCCGGGATTATGACTTATACTTAGCTTTTTATGCTTAAAAATTGATGTACAATGATCATAAATAATAAAAAATAGTTTATACCATATTTTATTCATTTGTACAATGTATATAGATATGTACATAAATATATATATAATTTTGGCTTCATTCGATGTGCCCATCAAGGTCAGAGCTTTGTAGGTATTTAAGCGAGTGCGATTCACTAATGAGTTTTCGAGCTGACAGATGCACTAGAGTGTATTAAAAATGTGCAAAAGGCTAACAAAAGATTGCCGGCCTCCAACAAAAGCAGAGCTACAACAACTGCAATGGCAATGCAGGAACAGCTCAAACAATGGAGCAAGCGGTTTTCCTCCAACTCTCCCACTCATTCTTCCTTTCTCACTCTCCCAACAATCGGAGAGAAGCAGCGGTAAATCTGGGGCATGCCAAATAATTTAAATCGAAATTAAGCCGATAAATTTGAGCTGTAAAATATTTGTTTGTCTGGTTGTGTATTTGCAGTTAGCATATTGATCGCTCGTTAAAATAGGTAATTAATTAATCCAAAGGCTGAGCTGGAAATTACCTGTGGGTTGGATTGAAATCGGTCATTAGACAGCCATTATAATACCGGGCTTACATTGGTAGTGGTCATATTAGTATCCCATAACATTAATGTTACAGATTATGTCAGCCAATTGAAAACAATTGTACTTATTTGTTGTGGTATATAGGCGGTACAAGGAGTAGGATAAATAATAAATCTTTTAACTATACATTTTTAATATGTTTTTTTTGGTATAAAAAATCCATTGTACTTTTAACAATTATTTTCCTCGATTTAAAAAATGAGTTAATTTTACGAAACGTATTATTTTTTTAAAATATGAAATCATTTTTCGTCACTAAAGTTAATATAAAATTTTTGTATGTGGATCGTCACTATTTTTTTACCTCGTTAAAAGGTGCTTATATTTTTATAATATAAATATTTTTGAATGCGTGTTTGCCTTAAAAAGTTTGAAAGAAATAATATTATTGAAGAAAAAATGTTTATACACGAATATTTTTTCAGCTTCAAAGGCTTTCCCATTTAAAGGCTATAGCTATTTTTAAGAGTGTACCTCGAGAGGAAAACAACTTTTCATTCAGGTTTTCCTCAGTTGCTTTACTTTTCTTTGTTTTTCTCAACTTATGCGCGCATTGGTTCCATTTCTCTTCGTTCGCTTTGCTTTTTGTTTTTGTTGTCTTTCCGCGTCTTCATGAATTATGTCAAGAAATGTTGGTGTTGTTTAAATGAATTGAAATACTTTAATCAAACTAAAATAATTCGAATATGATATATGTACATTGTACAATGTACATATTTTCAGTTAAGAAGTAGAAATCAAAAGTGCAGTCCGAAATATTACGTAATAAAATCAAAAAAGATTCCATGTTGAAATTTAAGGTAAATACCAAAGTGAACTTTTGTCTTACTCCCTATTTCTGAATTTTTATATGGTGAGCCAGCAATTTTTTCATGATAAGAGAAGTGTTAGTCTGGATATCAGAAATATTGGCAGAAAGCGAAAAAGTAACCGTGGATAAGCATAAATTTATTTCGTCTCGCTCATCTTTTTTCGTTGTTTAGTTTTACTTGATTTATGACCACAGTATGCCGTAGTGTGCTTTTTATGCTTCAGCACAATGGCTCGCTCACACGTATACCACATACAACTTCGTACTAGACATGAACGAGTACTCCGACTATGAGATACCTGGTATGTTTTTAATAAATACGTCTGCCAACAAAGTGTGCGCCATCGCTTTTCAGTTTAAATTTCTTAATTTTAAGGTCATCCGAAGAAAGTGGGTTTTTTGAAATAAAATCTTCTTATGATCCTATGAACATAAGAACACGGACCATGAAAATATGTTTACTGAGTCGGGAACGCTTTTTTTACCCTACGAAATCTACGAGTAACGCGTATATTGAAACACAGACGGAGCGACAGAATCGAACTTTATTGATAGCCACGTTGAGGCAATAAAAAATTGTGGGTGGCCGGTGGCTGTAGCCAAAGGGAGATGCTGACAGAAATGTTAGAAGGCGTCTATTTTTTGAGTGTGTATGCCGAAATCAACAACATTTTTGTATGCCTTGTTAATGCTTCGCACTCGCTTATGGCCAAAAATCTGACAAAAGCAGTCCAAACCACAAAAATTAAATAGGAAAAGTGGTCACAACAGAAACCCTTTATAAACCCATCATAATTTTAAAGTTCTGTTACATGAGATATAGAAAAACGGATGTTTATTGTATTTCTAGGAATTCCCTATTTTCATACATTCAGGCTTCAAAAGTTGTAACAATTAAATTTTTGAATTTACGTGTTTGTATGAACACATTCAAGAGTCTTTCCGTGCTCCACTTCCTCTTTGCATTTGACGGTGTGGCGTTTCTCGATCAAATTTCCCCTCCATTCTTTCCATACATCCTTTTCCAGACACTTTGCCACCCAGCCGGCACCTACTGGTCATGCGAAATCGCATTAAACAGTCGGCCTGATTGCTTTTCGTGTGATCAAAAAGTTCGCCGCAAAAATCTGACAATTATTTAAGAAGTTATTTAGAAAGAAGGTTTTATGACCCCTTAAATGGGCAATGACGTACCTAACAGTAGAGGTAGGAGGCCCTAGCGTCATTAGTTAAAGCGTAAAGGGTATGAGATAGTCGAGGCCCTCGACCATTACGTTCCTTCTTTATATTAGTTGTATTTTGGAAAAAAATGTTAAAGAAATTCAACCTGCTATCAATATATAATAAGAAACAACAACAATTTTAACAAATTAGCAAGCCCCCAGAAGTAAAAAAAATTACGAAGTTTAGCCATTTTGTTGTTTCAAAATGTTGAAACAATTTCAAATTTAAGGAAATAAATTTTAAACAGTGTTCTATTGGGCTTCAAATTAAATTCAAAATCCATACAAATTTAACTCGAATTTCTCAATCATATCCCAGCAAAGTTTATTTGCCCAGAGAACAAATAAACAAGTTACAGATTGTTTTCGAAAACAGCCCACTGTACGATGTTGCTCGCACTTCCATTACCCATTTTCCACTTATTCGCCACCAGCTCTTGCCTTGTAATTATTGTCATTACGTCATAAGCAGGCAGAACCGCGACGTCGCACTGCAAGCCCACTTACCCAGCGCGGCCTACCTCCCCCCTCCCTACCCATTGTCATCCACTGCCTCCCACGTACCACCCACCCCCTCCCTTTTGCCTATCGGGCACCCTCTCGGGTTTTGTTTTGATTCGCCTTGGCTTTTAATTTGGCGCGTCGCTGGTGCGTTTAAAAGAATTCCTCCGCTGCTCCATTTTCAGAAAGATCGGGTGAGGAGGTGGTTGGGGGGTATAGTCTACTAGAAATTCGCTATGCGAAAAGAGCTTTGAACGGTAATTGAAATATGAGGGGCCAGAATCCAGGCATCTTTGATGACTCTTGCGCCTTTTTTAATGTGCATCTAAATGTTTGCTTTACGTAATAATTTGTGATTTTATTGTTTGTACACGCCATGAATCGCTAATGGGACGCCCATTTCGCAGAGTTTTGACAAGCAACAAATAAATAAAGGCTAGCAGAAACAAAAAAAAAACATAGAAGCCTGGCAATTAACTTTGACATCTGACGAGCACGCGATAAAAGTTATCGATGACTGGTTGGCGGGAGGGCGGTCGTTTTTGGGGGCGGGCAGGGCAAACAAATTTGATCGCCCAAATGACGCGTGAAATTGGCAACCAAAGGGGAATTAAACTTAAAAAGGGAGGTGAATAAACATAAATGCTTAGCTAGCTTAACATTTCAATTTTCCAATTGGAAATGCACTAAGCAATAATCACACACACACACCCTGAACTCTCACTCTTACTTTTATTCAATTTTAAACCGTTGTTATCTCTGTCCCTTTCAAACTGATTGCCCGAAAACAACAACGACAGCAATCTCAAAAACAGCTGAGCGTCCGTCGCACACATTCACAGTCACACACGTGCGGTGCTTTCAGCCAAATTAATACAAAAATGAGACATACATACATATTAAACCCGGAATAACGTACCGCTTTATGTTCGTAATCTTTGTTTCACCAACGATTGCCAGCAATTTATTCAAGTTTCTTTTCGATGGCACAAGTCACTATTCTTTAATTAATCACGATTTTAAATAGTTTTTCGCAAATGGCCGCAAAAATATTTATTTTAGAGAGACCCAACGAGAAACGCGTGAGTCCAAGCGAACATTTTCCGAATAAATGCTTTTTGCAGTCTCGTTAACAGTCCGTACTAGTGTTGCCAACTTTTGAAAAGTAAAATAGCTGAATTTATCCGAAAGTAACGTTGAAAGTTATTTTAATATGTTTATTTGTATTGATACTCGCAAGAATTTCAACTGAATAGATTTCTGTTTCACCTCCAGAATAAGAACACTTTTTTTTGTTTCTCACTGTGTCTTAAGTAAGGTTAATTATAAATAATTTTGTATTTATTTTTAAAAATACTTAACAGGATTGCTATAAAATAGCTGTCCCGCTAACACTGGTTCACAAAGCCCATAACAGCACGCTGTTAACATAACTATCGATAACAGAGCCTGTCGATAGCAGCCACTACCATATGGAAAGAAGAGGAAGAGCGAAAAAAAACAAGGAAAACTCGAATGTTTGTGAAATAATTTGATTAGCGTTCAAGGAGAGTGCTGTAAGCGCAGAGGAGCAGGCAGTGTGAACAGTGAACACACTCCACCGAACTGAAGGCACAAAGTTACCCGATCTTACCCCTGCGGCTTACCTATGGCCAATAGAAACATGCGTAACACCACCAAAGTTGAGGCCCTGATCGAGAGCTGCCGCAGCGAAGGCAAGTGGCAGCGGGTCATCGAGCTGACCGACGAACTGAAGACCGGGTCGCCGCACAATGGTAAACACACAAGGTAAAAAATATATACCAATACTACATCACCATTCCCCCGATCAGAGTGCCTAGCCAACTTCCTGGTGGGTGAGGCTCGGCTGGAGAGCTACCTGGAGGACAACGCCCTCGCTCCCGCCGACTCCAACTTCGGGCGTGCCAAGTCCGGCTTGGTCGAGGCCCGTCGGTTCCTCCACTTGGCCCTGGGCGAGAGCGGACACAAGGCTGGCATTGCCCTGGACGCCTACCTGCTGCTGGCCAAGCTGTGCTTCGCCTGCGGCGAGTACGAGCAGAGCCTGGACAATTTCGTCAAGGCGGAGCTGAACACACTCGCCGAGAAAGAACTGACCCTGTAAGTTGGGGACAACGTTAAATATTTTAATATCTTTACATTTTTAGATAGCAACCTGTACAAATTAGAGCCCTGCATGAATGGATTCAATAAATTATTTTGAATTTCTTGTTTTATATGAATGAATGAATTTGAATTTTGAGTTTAATAGAATTGAATGAATTTGAATTTTGAGTATAATATAAATTGAATGAATGAACGGCATGAATTCCAAAATAATTCAAACGACAATTTCTTTTGAAGAAGAAAGGGCCATAATTTTGTGATTAAATCTGCCTGAATTTTATTTACTAAGCACACAAAAAAATCGAACAAAATCAAAAAATTCATAAAAATTATTCATTCATTCTATTCGAAATGAATTAGAAAAACATTACATTTATTTCACATAGAATTGAACTTAAAAAATCAGAAATTTTGTGGCATACTATGATAAAACAAAAATTGAATGATTCCCGCAGGGCTCTAGTACAAATCAATCAATCTAATTACTTCACAGTCGCAGTCTCAAGATCCTGGCCGAGTCGTATGCCATCAAGGGATTGTGCCTGGAGCAGCAGACCTCGAAGCCGACGTCCAAGTTCAAGAAGGCCGAGAAAGAAACAGAGATGGTAGGGCTATCGCCTTTCTCCTTAAGACCTCACTTTAACTCCTTCGTTTTGAACCACCTAGATAAGCTGCTTTGAGCGCGCCACCGATCTGGGGCTGCTTTACCTGCAGGAGTACGACATCGTGAGTGGCAGCAGCAGTTCGTCGAACAACTCCACTGCTGGTTCCACACTCAATGTGAACGCTAGCGTGCAGCCATCGAGCAGCAGCTTTGCCATTAGCAGTACCATACCGGCTAGTGGTCCCACCGGTCTGGAGGTGAACCGCAGGATGGGGGCCATTCTGGAGACCGCCCTGCAGCGGGCGCCTATAGTGCTTATCAAGACGGAGAAGCTTCAGGAGGCCGTCGAGCGGTACCGGATCATGCTGAATGCCATTGAGACGCGGGCCACTCAATCGCTGCGTCTCACGCTGGCCCGCCAGCTAGCTGAGGTGCTTTTGAGAGGTGTTTCCGGCACGATTTATGCCCCTCCCTTCACCGGAAAGTCGGGCGGTGGCACCTTGCGTGGCGGATCCTCCAAGAAGCTGTGGAAGCCCAGAAAGTACGCAGCCCGCCAGCAGTTTAACCCACGTAACCAGCAGGAGGAGGTGATATTGCTTCTACTCATCGCCGAGGCGCTGGCAGTGAGGGATACTGTTTTGTCGCAGAGTCCTGAGTTTAAGCAGGCTCGTCAGCATGCCATGGGCAACGTGACGGCTGTCTATGATCTCCTGACCTTGGCCACTGTGCGCTGGGGCCTCGTTCAGTTGCTGAACGAGTCCTTCGAAAAGGCGCTAAAGTTCAGCTTCGGTGAACAACACGTTTGGCGTCAGTACGGTCTGAGTTTGATGGCAGCCGAGAAGCACTCACACGCTCTCCGAGTCCTGCAAGAGTCAATGAAGTTGACGCCTAGCGATCCGGTGCCTTGCCTCCTGGCCTCGCGCCTCTGCTACGAGAGTCTGGAGACGGTTAAACAGGGACTAGACTACGCTCAGCAGGCGCTCAAGCGTGAAGTTAAGGGTAAGCTTTAAATAATTATATTAACAAGATAATTCTAACAATCATTTAATTATCCAGGTCTACGGCCATCTCGCAGTCAGCTCTTTGTCGGCATTGGGCACCAGCAGCTCGCCATCCAGTCGAACCTAAAAAGCGAGCGAGATGCGTGCCACAAACTGGCTCTGGACGCCCTGGAGCGGGCTGTGCAGCTGGACGGGAACGACCACCTGGCCGAGTATTACCTATCGTTGCAGTACGCACTTCTGGGACAGCTGCCAGAGGCTCTGGCTCACATCCGTTTCGCACTGGCGCTGCGCATGGAGCACGCTCCTTGTCTGCACCTCTTTGCACTGCTGCTCACGTCTTCGCGGCGTCCGCGGGAGGCACTGGGTGTGGTGGAAGATGCCCTGCACGAGTTTCCCGACAACCTACAGCTCTTACACGTTAAGGCACATTTGCAGCTGCATTTGGAGGATGCAGAGACGGCGCTCGGAACTGTGCAGCACATGCTGGCCGTGTGGCGGGACGTCTACGAGGCGCAGCTGGCGGGGGAGGAGGAGAAACACTCGGATACCAAGAGTGGCGTTCACCTGGCACATTCCTCACAGATGTCCGACAAGGATTCAAGTAAGTGCTCGATGGCTGCAGCACACGCATCTAACTTACACTTATCTCTCTCGCTAATAATGTGAATGTTCTGTGTATATATACTCTTGTATATACATATATATATGTATCCCAACTTCTGCGGAATGTATGTTTTGTACATAACAAACAAACTCGCATAAACAATTGTAAGTTTGCTAAGTAAACTTCCGGTTTAGCCAAGTCTCGATCGCCAATGCATGTGGATCGAACATGGCTAACACTCGAATTCGCTTCCTTTAATTTTTCTGGTTCCGTAGTTTGCTAATTCCAAACTGGCTCCCTCTTTGTTTTTTATTATTATATACCTAATCAAGATCAAGTTACAAATTACATACCACATTTTGACTGAAATTGCAAGACAAAATCTAAATTCAACAGAATTTTTGTTGCAATTTTGCTAGAAGATATTTTGCATGCAACTTCTTGTTGTTCAATTGACTAAATTCATTTTTAAAAATGCATCGCTTTCCTTTTTTTTAGTTCCCTAAATAAATGTTTAAAACATTTTCTTGTTGGCCCTTTTAGCAATGCTTTCTTGTATTACGTTGAAATGTTGTCTATCCTTACTCTCCTATATATATCCTCGTTCCGTTTATTGTTGGTTTTATATATTTTATCTTTTGGCAATTTCATTAACATTCAAATTTGCTCTTTGAAGATTCCGTGTATGCTGCTTCCCTGGCTGCAGTCTCTCGCGTGGAACAGGCTCTCAGTGAAGCGGCCAGCTCACTTAGTTCGTTTACCCAGCGTCCTGGACCTCGACGACCCTGGATGCTGCAGATTGAGGTGCGTAATTAGATAGATGTTAATTTCTTTCCCATTACGTAGACTAATTTGATGTTTTTTATTCGCTTTAGATCTGGCTGTTACTGGCTGATGTCTATCTACGCATAGATCAGCCCAACGAGGCACTTAACTGCATACACGAAGCTTCCCAGATATACCCGCTTTCGCATCAAATCATGTTTATGGTACGTTGTTCTAGGATGCTACATTAGAAATCTTCCTTCCTAACTTAAATTCAATTCCATTGTGTCTTCTAGCGCGGGCAAGTGCATGTCTATTTGGAGCAATGGTTTGACGCCAAGCAATGTTTCCTTAATGCTGTTGCCGCTAACCCCAATCATACCGAAGCTTTGCGCGCTCTGGGAGAGGCACATTTAATACTAGGCGAGCCCAGGCTGGCCGAGAAGATGCTAAAGGATGCGGCTAAGCTGGATCCAAGCTGTCCCAAGATTTGGTAAGTTCAAAGTAGTTTTACTTCGCTCAAAAACCTCGACTGATTGTGTTGAATTCAACAGGTTCGCTTTGGGCAAGGTAATGGAGATCCTGGGCGATTTCAATGTCTCCGCCGACTGCTTCGCCACATCGCTGCAGCTAGAGCCTTCGTGTCCTGTGCTACCTTTTACTTCAATACCGTTGGTCTTTGAATAGGAACTTTTTTCGTCCCCTTTTGATTCCTTTGTATCAGATTCAACCTTTACTAACCTCAAAGTGAACAGCAATATTACTTACTATATATACTATACTTAAACCTTCAAAAGTAAAAAGTGTAATTAATACCTTGGTTATTATGAAATGTTGTGTCGCAGTATTACAGCAACAAGGATCTAAATATTGTTTGTGCTTGTAAATTATTAGCTAGAATTGTTGAAGTTGATGTGTAAAAAACCTTTGAAAATCTTACCGACCTAAATTAAAAAAATGTATTTCTTTCCTCTTCTTTTAACATAAAGTTTTTTAGGTTGGAGTTTAGTGCAATTAATTTATTTAATTAATCCATGAAATGTTAATTATTGCATAAATATTTAATTGATACCTATAAACAGACATAGATATATTATGTATACTTCCTCGTGAATTTATTTAATGATAAATATATATATAAACTAGATTACATTCAGCCCTAATATATTTTTTGTAAATTCATCCTGGGGGTTTCTCTAAATATATGTAAGTAATTGCTTGTTTGTTTATTTCGAATTTAAAATTCCAATTTTTTTCAAGTTTTTTTCCGATTTTTATTTAAAAAAAATTCGAATTTAAAAATGATTTAAAAATTAAGAGAACGTTACCCTGTCTTCAATGCAGTCTTCCCCTTTCTAATACTTTCGTGTCCTTGTTTTGTTATTTATTCGACTGCATGCCACTTTCTGAAGGCCTTTTACTTTCGGCATTAGCTAATTGACGCCGATAATTTCCGCATTCTGGGCTAAAGGCCAAAAACAGACCTCTATAACTGCCAAGGAGTTTATTTCAAGTTGGGGTTGCTTTTGCCCGTTTAGGCTCTATGGGATTGTGCCGTTGCCCAGGACAACGAGCATATGACCAATCAATGGAAAAATAAACAAGCCAGTCGGAAATGTCGCTGCAGGACAGGCATTGGAATTTGGGTTGATTACGCCAGGCATAGAAAAGGAATCCCGGGACATCTATTTGGTGCGCCAGTTTAGAGTTTGACCCCGTTGGATTGCGTCCACTAATCTTGATGGGTCATTAGTTCCGCCTGAACATAATGACTCCCAAACGAAAGCGCCGCGGACGCAGCGAACTGCGGGCCAGGAGCAAAGCCAAAGGACAGTCGGAGGCAGAGCACCTGCAACTGCTCGAGGATCTGGATTTGGCGGACAGCTGCTGCGAGATTTGCCACTGCGATTGCTACAGCTCCCACAGCAGCGGTTCGGTGAGTGGGCGTGGCATTCAGCGGCAGAAGAGCCTGAAGGAACTAGTGCAACTGGACAAGGATATTCAGGCCTTGGAGCAACTGCAGCGAAGGGAGAGTGCCAAGAGCAAAGGAAGGAGCGCCAGTAGCCAGGGTCACCGGAGTGCTTCCAGATCGCCAACGGAGAGGGGGAAGTCCCCGCACAGTCGACTTGGATCTGTGCATACAGAATCTGGCCGGAGTCGGCGGTCCAAGAGCGCAGGTAGCCAACGCAGGAGTGATTCCCGCGAAAAGCCTTCGCAGCAGAAAGTCGAGCCCACTCCTCAGGATCGTCGACGACGCGGTGCTCAAAGGGATTGCAAGATGCTGCAAGTAAGTATTACATATTACTAGACCTCGGATTTTGCATAGTTGTCCATTTTTACCAAAATTTTTAGGTAGGTGTCATATTTTTCGAATATAATAAATTCGGATGCATATCGGAAATATGCAAAATATATGCAAAACAAATGCAGGCCTCTGGTATTCTAAGGAACCTTCAGTAAACACGGCGAGCAATTTAAAAAAACAGTTTGGCCGATAGGGCCAAAAACTATTCTGCCCCTTTTACTATTTTTGCCCCCTTCACGCCTACTCCTTGGAAATATAAAAAGGGTTCCCTTAAATTTGGGAAAAAATTAGATATCTCAGAAATGACGAAAAGGAACAAACAATCTTTTTCGGGTAAATTATGTTGGCTATGAAATGGTCAATCTTGAATAGTTGAGTTTATTTTATATTTTGCATATTTGCATATGTTTTGCATTATTTGCAAATATGCAAAAAAAATAAAATATGTTATTAATTTTAAACTATATTTTTATTGAAACGAACTTTGGTGTTTTTGGAATTGATCTATCCTTATCCTATAAAAATATGCAAAATCCGAGGTATACATTTTACATTGAATTATTAATTTATTTATTCAATTTTTATAAATGATCCCCAGCATTTTCTGAGTCCCCTGAACGACGCCCCCGCTCTGTCCATCATCGGACGGGCCAAGTCCAAATCGCAGGACAATGTGGCTTTGGTGGCAGGCCAAACGCAGGCCAAGAAGACCTCGCTGTGCACATCGATGGCCAACTTGTGCTTGGCGCCCACGGTGCGGGCCGCCTTCCAGCAGGTGCCCAGCCACGACCAGAAGATCCTGAACCGCATGGCGGGAAAGCGCAGTCAGCAGGCCGCCGACAAGGAGACGGCCTGGTTAGCGCGCAAGTTCTGGGAGAACGAACGACTGGAGCGGCAGCTTCTCCGCGTGGAGCAGCTGGAGGCCTACAAGCAGGCCGTGCACGACAAACAGTTCCAGGACTACCTGGTGACCAAGGCGCGACTGCAGGCCTTGGCCGAAAGGGATCTGGCGGAGCTAAAGCGATTGCGTGGAGCTCTGGACGCCAAGGATGCGGCGGCCAAGAAGCGGCTGGAGGCCAGGCGGCTGGAAAGAGATCTGAATTTCTGCCAGCGACGCTGCGAGGAGCTGCGACGCAGTGAGGCCGTCACGGTGCAGCAGGAGGAGCAGCATTTGGACGAAACGCTGCGCAAGCGCGACATCTGCATGCGGCTCACCCAACGGCTGCGTCGGGCGGACGAGTTGCGGAGCCAACTCCTGGAGGCTTATCTTAAGCGAATGCAGCACGACAACTATGTGGAGCAGGCCCACCACGAGGAGCATTGGCGGGAGCGACAGCAGGAGGAGCGAATGCGTCGGGATCAGCTGCGCGAGGATATCGAGCGCAAGCGGCATCAGTCGCAGCGCTTTGTTGAGTGTCGCCAACGACGGCAGGATGACCGCTTCCGTACCGCCAAGATCTCGGCCAGTCTAAGGGAGCTGGTCCGCCAGTCGGTCACTCCCGAAGGAGCTACTGGTGGCTCCGTGGGGCAGGATGCCCCAACCCTCAACTCGTACGCCCAGCAACAGGTGCAGCTGGGACGCCTGCTCTTCGAACAATCTTCGAGGCAATGACCTGTTTGGGTGGGAAATTAACGAAGGGTGTTATGTACATATATGCTAAATTGTTGTTGGATTTATGTAAATAAAGTGCATTGAGATTTGAGTCTTTAGTTTATTGTATTTTCTGTCTAGGGATTAGTTCGAAGTTCGAACTCTTTCGTCTATAGCTCCGTTAAAAAAAATCCTACACTCATTTTGAGTTTCTCGTTTGAAAGTTAGAGACTTCAGCTTTTTAAATGTTTTGACTGCCCAACAAACCAGGAATTCGTTAGCCTATAAAATAATTTACAAAAAGGGTATTTTTTTTCTCAGAATTAATTTTAAATATGTGATACAAAGGGATAACGATTTTCTAGCTGCCATTGAGGTAAATAAATAAAACTTACATTTTGCAACACAATGTTATCATTATTCATACATTCGAGAAAATAAATACATTTTCTAAAATTTCCTGTTCTGTTTCAATAAAATATACTAATGTACATTTCTTTTCCAACGCATGGGTCACGTGCCTTGGTTGTCGCTCCAGTCATCCGTTGACCCCGATTTACGTATACATAATTGAAATGAGAACCAAACCACTTGGAGTACAAAGATCCGGCAAACAATAAGCGAACCGTTCATTGATCGCCCCTCAGCCCAATGAACGGTGATAACAAGGACCTAAAATCGATAGGGAGGCGGGTGGAGAAATCGAGGTAGAACAAATCTTGGTTTATGGAGACGACAGTGAACCCCACCCTGGACCTGCAGGAACCCCGGAGCACGTAGGTAGTACGTACCTTAGTGAGGCCCTGAGTCAAAAGCCTTGATGGGTCAGTGGCCGGAGAGCAAAGACTCCTCTTAGTTTCCCATTCCCAACCGATCACGTTCCGGATGTGCAAATATTAAATGTGAGTAACAGTAACCAGGAGATGCACATGCATCCCATCTCAACCTGAGGCAAGGTTATCACACACCACATAACGTCTGATTCATCGTCGACCTAGGCCAGCGGTCACTTCCTCAGTTCAAGCTTTCTGTCGCTATCAAAGTTAATTAGATTAACACTTTAACTGCTCTCTCGGATTCAGCAGCTCAAGTGCATAATTGTTTATGGTGGTTTTGTAATTGAAAAAAATGTCGTGCACAAGTCTAGTTTAAATATTAATAGGGTTTTTTTTGGTTTATGGTCGGGTTAGCACTTGTGCTGGAAGATATGGATGATGTAGACATTCGGAATTTGCTTTAATGTCTGGCACTGATAATACTTTAGCAAATTTCATCTTAATCTTAGCTTAGGCATAGTTTTCTAGCAATAGTTTTGAAGCAAGCTCTTTAGAATAGCAAATATTTTATATTCACAATATAAAGAATTTAAATTTAAATCGATGAATATAGTGTCTTAAAAATCTATGCGATCATTGTTCTAAATTGTTCATTTGTTTTCTAAAATACAGTTATTATTTATTTCCCTTACTAGTACGAAAATAAAAAATTTATGAAAATTTTTTTCCTTTTTTTTTTTTTTTTTTCCCCCCCTTTTTTTTTTTTTTCCCCCCCCCCCCCCCCCCCCCCCCCCCCCCCCCCCCCTAATTTTTTTTTTTTCCCCCCCCCCCCCTTATTTTTTTTTTTTTTTTTTTTTTTTTTTTTTTTTTTTTTTTTTTTTTTTTTTTTTTTTTATTTTTTTTTTTTTTTTTTTTTTTTTTTTTTTTTTTTTTTTTTTTTTTTTTTTTTTTCCCCCCCCCCCCCCCCTTTTTTTGGTTTTTTTTCCCCCCCCCCCCTTTTCCTCCCCCCTTTTTTTTCAAAAAAAAGGTAAAATCTGCAACTCTAATATGATAAATCATTTTTCCCACCTATTTTTTTAACGAATAATTTTCTAAATTCTAAAAAATATAATAGCCTCTTTTTGATAGATGTGAGCACTCTCAGCGATCTTCGTGACTACGTGAATGTCTGTTCTCAATGATAATATACTGGAAATTTTTACTTGCGCTTTTTTTTACAATCTTGCTATGGATCCGACCCTTTGTTGGCCCCTCTGTCAATCGCTTCTTCTTGCTAATTTACGATTTGTGTACACATTTTATTTTTGTACCGAATAGGTAGTACACATATGTACATTGTACATATTAAAGCACTCGTGCAAATAGACCGAGACTTTTGGCGATAAGCCCTGAATTTTGTTTCATAAGACCCTGAAATGTACTCAGGGATGAACTTGGATGTAGATCCTAAAAGAACGAACAAATTTTGAGGATACAAATTATTAAAAATAAATTATAATTGTAAGTAGATAAATAAAATACAGTGACAAATGATAAATGGTTTTAATGCGTTTCCTTAGTAATTATTACAAGCGCTTTCTGTCTTTTGAAATACTCATATGATGCATTGCATTTTATATTAATGCTTATATTTGGATAATCCCCTAGTGTAGGCTTCTTAGATGCTTTGAAAATATTCTGCTTGATGTTTGTCTTGTCACCGCTTATTTTAAACTTTGTTTTTATTTCGATTCCACATTTTTGCACGATTTCTATTTTAAATTTTTAGTTTATTTTGTGTTTTTTTCACCTTTGCTTTGGAGTTTTTTATTAGTAGTCTTGCCACTTTCACCTCGCAGCTGCGTTTGGCAATCAAACGTTTGCGGCGAGCGACATTGAGACGGGAGATAAGGCGACTGGGCCTTAGAAATGTTCGCAAATCAACGATTGCGCAATATTGCAAGCCCTGATGATATCAAAAAATGTAGGTTGTTTAAATAAAATACAAAATCCCTATATATACATTTTTAGAATTCGCGGTTCTTTTATTTCCACAAACAAGGATGCCTAACAATACCTTCAAAGAAGATCAAATATAAAAAGTTTTATGAAATTGTTCAATTTTCAGGCATTCTTTCTTAAATTAAACGTTATTGGCAATCTTTTTTTAATCAATCGAAAAAATCATAATTTTTATCAATGTATTCAAGTCCTAATAACACGTATCTGATAGTCAGGAAACCAAACTACAGAATTATTTTACAAACAAACTTTTGCTATAATTAGAAATTATTTATTGACATGGTAGATATGATTATGATTTCAGGAGAACATTCTATGTTTCGAATTTTTCAATCAATTAATTTGCATGCTCTAGTAATGGGTACCGCTTAATCGGGAAACTGAACTTTAGGGCCTTTAACATAAATATTTTTCTTATAATTAAAAATAATTTTGTTGACATAATAAAAATGATTTTGATTAAAAATAAGATTAACATGTCAATAATTTGGATTTTAAATAACTATTCGAAACTTATTATTTTAAGATCAATTATTATTGTTTTTAATATATTTCTGAGCAGAGTTTCCACTTTTAAGTGGCGAAATTGCCTTTTTTAACGCCCCTAATACTTGATTCAGCCTCTCGAGGACCCGCCGGCCTACTTGGTCCTCAGCTCTCGATGGGCTCCGCCTCCAGCTGGGCCTCGATGATATCGGCGTGCAGGCGCACCATATGGTTGTTCAGGTTGCCGACGCTCTGATAGCACTTGTCGCAGTACTCGCAGACGAAGGGCTTCTCGCCGGTGTGCACCAGCAGGTGGGAGTTGAGGTGGCCCCGGGTGAAGAAGGCCTTCGAGCAGCGGTCGCACTTGAAGGGCCGCTCCATGTTGGGGTTGTGCGATCGCATGTGGGTGCGCAGGTCGGACTTGGTGGGCCAGGTCTTCGAGCAGCGCTGGCACTCGAAGATCCGCGGCTTGGCCTCGCCGGTGTGGGTGCGCAGGTGGGAGAGCAGCTGGGTGCGCAGGATGAAGCGACGATCGCAGTGCTGGCAGGCGAAAGGACGCTCTGTCGAGTGCACCGATTTCACGTGGTATCGCAGGCTGTGCCGCGAGGCGAAGCTCTTGCCGCACTCATCGCACTGGTACCGCAACTCGCCCATTCCATGAACGGCGATCATGTGCAGCTTCAGCTGGAAGTTGCGGGTGAACTTCTTCTCGCACTCGCCGCACGGATGCAAGGATCGCGGCGAACCAGCTGCCCGTTCCTCCTTCGGTTTTGGCTTGGTCCTCCGTCTCTTGGGCTTTCCCGTGGGTTTTGGGCTGGATTCCGACTCTGGGGATTCCGGTGGCGTGGGCAGCTCCACTGCGGAGGGCTCCGGCGTCTCCGGCTGGTGAAGCGGCGTGTTCAGGCTGCCCGAATCCCCAGTTGACTCCCAGTACGTGGGAGCCCCGTACTCACTGGGCGAGCTCTCCTGGAAGTCCAAGTTTTCTGTGGTCATAAAACAAGAAGTATTAGCTTTTTTGGAATAGATATAATATTTCTTATTCAAGATACTATGATAGGACTGATATAAAATTAAATAAAAACATTCATAACAACAAATAGTTTCTATTTGTATAAGGGTAGCTTAAGAAAACTTTCCACTTCGTTCTGAAGTTCTGAAGTCAATACTTGAAGTCAATACTAGCGAAAAAGAAAGATAAGGCGACAGGCATTCAAATAATATAGAAACAAGAGAGAACGCTATAGTCGGGTTGTTGTCCCGACTATCTAATACCCGTCACTCAGCTAAAGGGAGTGCGAACGCTGTGTCGGGTTGGTGTCCCGACTAATAATCGTAACTCAGCTAAAGGGAGTGCGAGGGAGATAGATATATAATTTTTGATTGCGTATAACTTTTTAATGAATGGTCCGATTTGAAAAAGTCGTTCTACATTTCGATAGGTATAAATATACACAACAAAATTGCATTTATACTTCTCGGAAATCTTTAAAGATGTGGGCGCAGGACCCATTTTAAAATCGTTAGTGGGCGATTGTGGGCGTTAGAGGGGCGTGGCGCTCGGCAAAATAAACTTGCGCTGCGTAGGAAGCCAAAGAAATGTGGGAAATCTCAACCTTCTAGCTTTTGTAGTTTCTGAGATCTCAGCGTTCATACAGACGGACAGACAGACAGACAGACAGACGGACAGACGGACATGGCTAGATTATGGGGTCGGAAACGCTTCCTTCTAGCTGTTACATACTTTTGCACGAATCTAGTATACCCTTTTACTCTACGAGTAACGGGTATAAATATGTGTGTACTAACAGATTTTTAATTATTTGTTAATTTCTGGCACATTTTTTTTAGTTGTATTACGTAATATAATTATGATCTTCAGTAAAGGTAGAATATACAAGGAAACAATGTAAGTCACATAAATTTAAAACACTTAACGTCATTAAAAAAGTACTTTAATATTAAAATCATAGTTTATCATTTTAAATTAAAGCTATAATTGTTAAATTTAATATTATTATTTTTAAAAAATGCTAAATCTTTGATTTTACTGCTTTTTTTTTAGTGTAGAAAATTTCTTCAAAATCCGTATTAAAGTTATTTCTGTAGCACCGCGAATGATAACATCTAAATTTGGCTGGCCTTGAACGACTTTGAGATTAAATCGACATAACTAAAATGTTTGTTTTTATTAAAAACTTTTTAATAATCATACAATGAAAATAAACAATTTTATGAAATAATTCTTGGTTTTTTATTTTTTTGACAGATTCCGACTCATAACTTACCAAAATCCACGGTCTCCATTAGAGGCGCTCACATAGGCCACCGGCTTGCTGGGCACCTGCTGCATGGTGGCCACCGGTGCCTCCAGGCTGCCCACCTCCCGCTCCAGGCACTCAAGTACATCGTCCAGGGCCAAGGCATCGCCCACGGCTACCGTGTGCTTCCACTGCTCGTGTCTCGAGCGGAGCACCTGCTCTGAGTGCTCGCATCGCCGCTGGAAGTCGCGGGCGTCGTGCAGGCGGCGCAGGCAGAGATCGCAGATCACGTCGGTGAGATTGTCGCCGGGATCCAGGAGCAGGGCGGGCGCCAGGGCCTTGAGCTCCGCGGCCAGGCGGCTGGAGGCGTCATGGAGGCTGTGGTACAGTGGCGGCTGCTCTAGCAGACAGCAGCGGCAGACGAGCGGGTGGTGCAGCAGCAGCGAAAACATAATACTTGGTTGCCAAACGGTTACGAACCGGTAAGGGGTTTTTTTTTTGGGTTTTTTAAATTACACTCACGGTTTTCCAAATTAATTTAAATGTTTACACTATCATTATAGTTATGTTTTTTCCCTAGAGTTTTTTGTTTTATCCACCTAGGTTTTCATTTTAGAATATATATTCGAAATCGGATCAGTTTGCGGTTCGATCCCAGGCTTAATACTTGGTGCGTCTGCTCGGATCGCCGTTCGCTGGACTTCTGAGGGTGCGGTTCGCATCCGATCCATTCCAATCCGCAGTGTAGCGTTGCCCAGCGATGGCTATCAGGAAAGGCGACCGGGGGCGCACCGATAGCCCTTGGCTTGGGCGATAAGTCAGCGGCAGCGGTGGCGTCGATTTGGCTAGAGGGGTGGGGGCGCACAGAGACAACAGGAGAGCATCTATCTGAGCAGGAGGGTGTGGGGGTTTGGGTGGGGTGGGGGTAGGGCTACTATCGACGGTCAGCGTCAACGTTTGCTAATTTTCAGTTCGTGCCGGCTAATTGATTACCCCGGTGGACATCCGCCGACTGTCCCTGAACCGCGATAAGGCCTTATTATCTCGTCGTTATTTTGGGTGGTCCACATCCCGGCGACCCCCACCCATCCGCCCACCTCCAATCTCCGCCGTGCCCTCATCGTTAAAAGTCGAACGAACCGAAATAGATCTGTACCGGTTCCTTATCTTCGATCCGCAGCGGGTTTCCCGGTTGTCTCGCTGTTGTTGCATTTACCGCTAACTTTCGGGGGCCAAAACGGCCCCACGAGTTGGCCAATTGAATTGCCACCGATCAAAATCAGTTACAAAACTCCCTAAGGACAAGATAGTGCCAAAAAAAAGCATAGGTACGTGGGGTTTTTCCAATTTTCTACCAAGGCAAGAAGAAGACGATGGCGACGGGGGAAGCCTCAACAAAAATCATTTGTTTTCGGCATGAGCTCATTATCTCGACTAGGGCATGATGCTTTCGGAATCTAAAGTTCAAACGCCGCTATCAATTCGACAATCGTAAATTCCGCTTCCCTAATCTTCAACAATAATTTTTTCCCTTTTAAGGTTCGAAGTAAAAGTTTGTTTTGATATTGAAAATTAAAATACTGTATTTTAGACCATTAGTTTCGCCAATATTGCTTAGATTCCTTTGAGATTGTGTTTCCCTAACATTTTTTAGTCCTTGCTAATCTATTTACCCTAATTGTCCATTTAAAACGGCAAACAAAATCAATAAAAATCGTTATATTTAATTCAGCATCCGCTTTTTAAATTATTAAATAATATTAAATGCAATGTGAATAGTAGAAGTAGATGAAAAAAAAAATTGATAAGCTGAGATGGAAGCTACTTTTACTAAACTTGGGATTTCCCCGGAAAAGCGAGCTATCTTTTTTGGATGTTGGATCACGGATCGTGCATTCCGAACAACTTCTCACCGATCTGCAGCTCGGTTTTTATCATCATGGAGAGGGTGATGCCCATTAACATGTCGCGCAAGTTGGCATTGAACATCAGGCGGAAGGTTTCGGAATCCACGACCGGAACCGAGGTGAGGGCATCGTGAAGGGCCCGGCCAACCACATTATCAGGCTTTCTCTTACGGGCCAAAACATCATTGATGTAGCGCAGCACCAAATCCAGACGCTGTTGCAAGTCCCTGGTGGCATCCACAACTTGAACCAATTCCGGCAGAATGCGACCCGTTTGTTTGGCTGCCGGCTGCATCGATTGCTTCTCCATCAAACGGAGGGCCACAACTTCCGAATTTTCACTGGTCATCTCCAGCGGCAGCATCGAGAACATCAGGCCTTTGGTGCCGCCGGGCACTCCGATCTCCACGGCGCAGTACAGTCGCGGCAAAAGTCTCTGGCCTTTCAGGGTTGCATCCACCAGCAGGTGCAATGGTTGCAAATCGCCGCATTCCCTGGTATAATAATCGTGCAGCAGGGACGCCGAGCGCGACACCGATTTTCCCAGTGGAGAACCATCCCAGCACACGCTCTTGCGGATAGGTCAGCATATTAAGCTCCAAGATATCGGTAGCATAGGAGAGATCCAAATCTATGCGGTTCAAGTCCGGATGTTCCTTGTGCAGCACAGTGAAGCAATTGGTAATCTCGGTTTGCCCATCCTTGCCGTTGTTGCGGCCCAGCAAAGTGCCCATTACCTGAAGTGAAGCTTTTGATGAGTTTCCTTAAAGCATGGGCTACCATTTGTGCGCTCTTACCTGTGCGGCATCTTTTGGTCGGCGCTCGTAGGCGTCGATAATTTGAAAAAGCACCAAGGGATGCAGCAGCACCTTGGCCCGTAGATTAAAATTGATGGACATCGTGAGTTATCAAAAAAAATTGTAGAAGGAAGTAAAATTTCAGCAAGTTGAACTTGGCTGCGCCTGCGCCAGTGTTGTAAAATAACGTGAAGTGCCATCAAAATGTTTTGAGCAAAGAGAGAGAGGCGGGCTGCGCCTGCGCTGCAAAGAACAAAGTTCTCAATTTTGTGACCATTTGGAAACTTTTGGAAATGGAACACAAAGAGTAAAACGAAGCGGAAACTACCTTCGTCAAGACAAAGTTTCATAGCCCTGCAGATTTAACAAATTAAAAGATGGCTTCAACAGTAAAAATGGGACCTATAGGATATAAACGTCCGATCCGCAGTTTTCTAAGGTAATCATTTACACGTAGTTAAGATATAATTAACTAACATATACACTTTAAAAAATATTTAATGAAAATACAGACGAAAAACACTTTTTTTGTTATCTATATAAAGGAAAATCGACGTGGGTTGAATAAGAATTTGCATAAAAGTATGAGGTATTTAGAAAATTAATTAACGCAGTCCATTTCCCTCAATTGGCATCCGGATATAAGCTATTCTATTCTAAGCTATTTCTATTTTGGCGTTCTCCGCTATCTTAAATTTTTCCTCTAATAATAAGTGTGAACTTGAACCTCAATCATGCCCCCAAAATTATTTCGGAAGGCAACAAATTTAACAATAAAGCTCCGGTAGGTGGATGGTTTGAGTCTCTTAGAATAATGAGAAAAATATTCCAGTCACCGACAATCAATTTCAAGTTTTGGACAAAATGCTGATTTTTTTGAGGAATATTAGGATTAAGTATTTTGGGCGAGATCACTGTGGACAAATTAATAATGTTTTGGCTTTTTAAAATATTAAAAGATCATTGCTAAATAATCAGCATACGTCCTAAAAATCAGTCAGTTAGGCAAAAGCTGTCACAGTAGTGAACATTATCTCATTCACAAACACTACTGAATTCAACATGGAGGGCTACAAAAGATTCCTTATGATACTAACTGGGATTCTGTGTTTGGCGCTCCTGGCGATCGAAGTGGCAGACTATCAGCTGGATGACTTTGTGCTCAGCTCGCACCTGAGCTACTGGAAGCACCGACCACGCTCGTATCATCCAGAATCTTGGGAGCGGGGAATCAACATCCTGGTGGGCATCTACATGGCCATCCTTTATATGCTATTCCGGCTGAGGGAGCACATGAGGCTGCAGAACCTGAAGGACATCCGCCGGCAACAGGAGTTCGAGGACCTCTTTCGTATGGAAACTGAGTTTATTGAGCAGCTGCGATCCCAAGGCGTCCAACTGGAGGATGCCACTTTGGATTCGAGCTGCGCATAATCGTCTTGTCGGTCGCATTCAGGAGCCAATCAAATTTTCTCGTTAATGCCGCCGCCTTGGACAATGTTAATGTTTGATTCAGAGAGTGCGAGTATAAATATACGTATATATCGCACGGCTTGATTGCCCAGAATTGAATTCAACATTTGCGCGCCGGGGCGGGCGCTACACCTACACAGCTCAATTACCCGGCAGATCCATTATAATCCTCCTCGGCCGAGTTGAACGTGCCCGACTGACATTACTACACACAACACTCCACATATGTATACTAAGTACACATATGTCCAATATGTATACACTATATACGAACTGTTCCCGCCGGCCGTACACTTCCAATAGTTCATTGTTTGGTTCTGCACATGAGTATATTTTTATCGCGCACTATGCTCTTTCTCGCTTTGTGTGCACTTTTTTTCTGTTTGAAATAAATTGTAAATGATTTTTATTAAAATTTCCGCTTAAATTTCTCAGCGGTAATATCTGGGTCCCTGTCCCCCTCACGATCTATTTGTGGCTCTCTGCGTATTCCAAGCTATCTTTTTCGGATTTCGAAATTCCTTGCTGAAAATGATTTCGCTGCTCTTATCACGGTAAAAAGGTCGTGACGATCGCACCTTCAAAATATCAAATTTTGTGCCAAAAGAAAGAGATAAAAGGACTTGTTTTGATTTGTGCAATAAACTTATACCCTTTGATAAAAATAAAAGATATGTTACTTATATTTTATGTACTGACTTTTAAGTTTATTTTAGCGAGATAACTGGGAAATTATTTTAAAGCTAAAAAATAAAACCCACCAATGACATTTTTAAATTAATCTTTTTTTAATATTTGACATTTATTTCAAAAGTCTTATTTTATGAGCAATAAATACAAGGCGAAAGGTTCTTTTATTTTAAAAGTTTTAGCTGTTACAGTCTGTGTTATAACTTATAAGATATAAGTATGTATTCAGTTATTACTAAATACAGTTTTAAAAAGTTATTCTATTCTTCTATTATATTCTAGAAATATTTTTCAAAACGATCTGTTTATTTAACTTTCGTTAATTTATTTTTAAAACCGTAGTTGTTTTACACGATTTCAGTGGGAAATTTTGTAATGAATCAAAACCGGATTTCAAACAAAATGATATAATATTGAGTTTCAATATAATTTTATTTTTGAGTTGTGAACCGAATATTGATTACCCATTGTCTTTGTAAATTCACCATCTTTCTTTCAATTGAAACATATTAAGAATTTCGTGCTTGCACGCGGATTACCTGAGCTAGAAAGACAGATGGCTGCTTCCGATGAAACAGATTTCCATCGGTTTTAGGGCCGCATATAAACGGGCCTCAATTCACCTGAACTCGCGGTTGTAATTTCCACAAAACTTTTGCGCAGGCGCAGAAGAAAGTGTCGATTAATGAGCGAAAATGCGACCTTCAGACTGCAGCAGAAACACCAGCCACCTGTAGATGAAAACAGGTATACAAAGGAAAGGGGACGCAAAGATTTTTCCCAAAAATCGTGCGAACCGCTGCAAACCGGTGCACTCACCTGGGAGAGTAAGAAAGAAAGAGAGAGAGGGAGAGAGAGATCGAGCGTTACAGGTGAGAGCTAAGCCGTAGTTGAGCTCCGCGAGAGCGCTGAGCCAAACGTAAGACTTCATTCGATACCGTTACGTGTTGCGAGTCGGTCGTGTGCGCGGACCATTCGTCTTTCCTTCAAAGGGGGCTACTACTATACTACTACTACCTATAGTCAGATAGCAAGAATCTCAATGAAAGTTAATTCGGTTGTGGACAAAACACGTCGGAAATAGCGCCTGAATTGATCCATCGGCGCGTTAACGGTTACGGGATTCGAAATCGCTCGGCCACTACGTAAGACAGCATCTGTAAGGCGAGCTCTAAAGGTCTGGCTGGATCTCTCAGTCCGTGATTCGGTCTCAAAGTCAGCGGTTGTCGTGTCGCTTCGCCTCCGCTTCGATACGTTTCGGTTTCTTTTCTTTCGATCCGTGCTTACTACAGGTGAAATAATCCAAAATACGATGGCCGAATGCAGTGCAAAGAGTGTGCCATTTTTGAAAAATCATTAAGAAATTCTGTGAAAGGCGAATCACGCAGAGCCGAGTGCAATTGAAAAGGCTCGCGTGTAATTTGTTGCTCCAACGAAACTGCTGGAAAACTACTATAGTACTAGTACGAAATTAATTTGCAAGGAGAATATCATCTTGGATACGAGGCGAAACAATAGTGCAAAAATATTAGTGCCACAGGGTAAGTGCAGTCATATATGTAGGCATCTACGCCTCGAAGCTTCCTGATGCTTTCAGTAGAGACGATAGATGCGCAGATTTTTCCACCGGGGGTTGCTGTCCAGGGGTTGAAATCTGATTTACTGCTTTCATTGGATTTAGTTTCGGAATGTTTGCTAGAAAGTGCGTAGTTGCGAAAAATACGCTGAGATAAAATATAAATGTGATACGGGAAATATTATCCATTCTTCGAGACTTTACAGACTATTCCTTAAAATAATTCAACATAAACATTGGATAATCATTTTTTCAATGCTTTTTAGGCAATATATTAAATAGAACAATATTGAAAAATTAATTTATTTTTAGACTTCACTGAGAGCATGGATCGGATTAGTTTTTAATCATATTTTTGCTATTAGCTTTGTTTTTTTTTGTATAAGCCGAAAACAGGCACATTTATAATTAACACGCCTCACAAGAAAATAGTTCTTGTTTTCATGTTTGTCGTCATATAGTTAAAGAAAAAGAATCCAGAAATCTGCGGGTAGTTGCTATTAGCTGAGGGTATGCAACATTCGGATACTAATCTACAAAAATATTATCTTGTTCTCATTTAATTTACTGCTTGTTGGTCGCCGATTTTTTCATTGACAGTGATTATTTTACAACAAGTGATAAAAAGAGTGTTTCTCCGAATTTTTGCTGTGTACAAATTATGAGCTACAATAGAAGTAAAGTGGGCTCGGTAATTTATCGCTTTGTTGCTGTTCATTAATGTCTGAAGCGAACAAGAAGCAAGCGACATTCTTAACAATTTCATGGACAATTTAAGCTCGAGTTCATCTAACAGATACAATCGCAGATTTGAGTATCCAAAAAATTAAGTGTACAAGTTTTGCCTCTATTTGCATGGGCAATAAAAATCAGATTGACGGTTTTTCCCAACTGCAAGTGCAATTGCGGGCCAAGTCCAACACGCTTGGCTCTTTCGTTTGCAATCCGGCTGTCGAGAAAGAAACTTAAAACTTTTGACAGGCAAATTAATGAAACTCGAATTGAGAGCGGCTACAATTACGGCGTACAATTAAAGTAGTACCCACCTGAGCGACAGAAAGTAAGCCTCGGATCGAAAATGCACGATCAAATTCATCTGGAAAATGGCCAAGGAAAATATGTAAAAAAAAAAAAACGTTGGCCAATAGACCCACTCGTCATCAATTGCGGATGCCCCCCGACGTCTCACATATGTTTGCATATTCGTATTCGGATACAACTCGAAAGCAAGAGTGATTACATAAACTGAACTTTGGTGATCCGGTTTGCCGGACATAACCGAGGGAGTTTTTCGGCCCAGTTAATGAAAGTTCAAGTGAAATTCGCGTCAAAAAGGAAACCGGTTGATTGGCTCATCCCCATCGTCGATTTTCAGATGACTGGTCCACCGCCACTTATGCTCAAGGTTAAAGCCAAATTGAGCGATTCACATTTGGTAACTGTGTACAGTTGCACGGGTTAGTTTTCGGGTCGGAAAAGCCACAGGTAGCTGGGGTTTTCATCCTCTTTCTGAGCAGTTTTGAGTGGACCGAACAGCAGGTATTCTGCAAAGGAATCCGTGCAATGAACTGGTTTTAGGTCTCGGTTTTTCCTTTATTTGAGAAAATTACTCGCTACACCGCAGGATGCTCAAAACAGTTTTATTGCTCCATTAGTCTTTCACAGCTTTCAATTAGCAACTCCACAAGCGGCTCATAATTTGCTAAAACTCAGGCAAAATATAATTGAATGTTTGCTTAAATTATTAACGGCTAGCGAATGTTGTGAAAATGACATGCTGATATTCTTCAGTCCGAAGCATTGTAAATTTTGCTAAGTGCTCAAGCAAACTAATTATAGTTAAATGGTTAAATGGATGGGAAAAGGGGGGAATATATCATAAAAGGAAAAGTGCTATAGCTATTTCTTTCTCACCGACTAACCTCAGAAGCTCCCTCAGCTGGTTTCGGTTCAGAAATACCGTTACATTCCGCCACACGCGCACCCATATGTGTTGTACATATGATATGCGATCAGCCTTGCACTTTCTTTTTCTTTCTCCGCTTCTTTCTCTCTGGGTCTTTGTGTCTTCCCCGCCATTTTTTTCTTTCTCAGAGAGTCACTTTTCGATTTTTTGTCGTTTGGCATCTGAGCGTTTTTTTTTTGCTGTCGTCTGTGTGTCAATTGGTTGATTCATTAACTCGCCGTTGATGGCCGGAAAAACTCTGTCATAATTAACTAATTTCCAAGGAAAGTAAATCCAGTAGACTAGTAAAAGTGAGCGAGAAAGTGTAAGTTATGGAAACGACTTATCTTGGCTCAATTAATTATAATAGAGCGATGCTTTAAGAAATTTGAGAAGGCTTGTACTAGTAGGGAAGGCTTACAAATTTAAATTGTTGTCAAAGAACTATAAATGTATTGATTTATAATAAGAAATGTAATCTATAGTGAAAGGGGTTTCTGTAATAAGGAAAACAACCTTCACGTTTGAGTTCTGTACAAAAATCTCATTTTATTTTATTAAGTCTTTGCTTATAACTTGAAATTCTTACAATATACTTATCTATGGTCTACGCAGAGACCACATCTGTTTGCCTGGGCGGGAGCGGGACGGTCTCCTGCAAGGCGACCCTTTGTGCAGTGTGAGAACTATATTTATGGTCAGGCTCAAGTGGCCTGTACTTAAGATTACAAGCGTTAGCACTGCACCCTTGTAGAGTTTGAGTTACAGATCGGTTTTTACGACTCTAGATCAATTAACATATTGACATGTACCGAACTCGTAAAGAATTAGATTTATTATAAAAAGTGTCCTTCTTGAACATAAAGATTTAATCATTTACAAGTTAAAATAATGAACAATTTAAGTTAGATTACAGATGTCAGATCATCGAAAGAACTGTGGATAATTTCTTTGTTTTCATAAGAATATAACGATACTAAAAATAAAAGTAATTTTGTTTTATGACTATTTTCACTACTGATTTTGTGGTTCTTACAAAAAAGTCGATGGAGTCACTATACATACATAGTTTCATATGTCTACTTCTGAAATTTGTTGTTCGGGTTCGATTCCTCAAACCAGGAAATTAACAAAGTTATTTTTCCATTTGTTGGCCACCACCGGAATTGCTTAGTAATCAACACTTGACCAAATCTTGATGCACTTAAGTTCGATTATATCGCTTTTAAAACTGCAATTAATGAATGAAATCAGATTAAGGTACTCTCGGCCTGTGCTCCACTGACCTACAGATCTGCGCCTGAACAAAGAGCAGATAAATCCGAAATCAAAACGTTAACGTAAATGGTTAATTAATGCAAAGCAAACAAATCAAAAAGCTGAATTCAAATTGAAAGCGGCCACCTAGTGTCCGGTTGTATGTGACTGTAACTGTGTGTTTGAGCCAAGACTTTTGTGTGTCAGTGTGACCCAGTTCCAGGTTGAACGCATGCCGCTGGAATCACTGCCGTCTTGTAGCGTCCCCCTCTGTCCAGTTCGGGCAATCCAATCGGTTAGTCAGCCAGTCAAGAGGCTCAGAAAAAGTAGAAAGTGAATTTTTATCTTGGCTTCTGCCTCGAGGCAGAACCTCGCCTGATCTGCCCCCACCTCTTCTACCACCACCCACCAAAAACCAGAAAAAACACTCAAAAACTGTTAAGGCTTTCAATGTTAAACTGTTAGCCCCGAAGTAAGCTAATTAAAATTCATTGCAAACCATTGTGTGGCAACCAATTTCAATTGTAAGCGACCTTTTTTCAGCTGCTGACAAATTGTGGCCAAAAAACAAAAAACCAACTGATATATGTATAAATTTATAGGTAAAAATACAACAAATCGGCTTAAGCCGAGTTAGCACAGTAATTATAAATATTTTGTTTTTGTCAATCAATCAATCGCTCTTGTGTTCTACTTCAATGACTTGACCCAAATTTATTTGAGGCAAAACCCACCGACAAGTAGATGATAATAATAACAAGAAAACACATTTCGAAATCGAATTCCCAATAGCGAAATATATTTAAATATTAATTAATATTAATTTGGTAATTTCTCGTCATTTATGCTTTGTGCCACCGCAACGCAAAAGCGCAAAAGTGAAAGTTGTTGACTTGGTCAGAAAGAAAAACTCACCAAAAGCTTGCATGCGTTTTGCTCGCAATCAATTTTTGCGCTGCTCGTTTTTTTGCCTCCTTCGGTTTCTTCTTCTTCTGCCTTGTAAATATGCATTATATAAATTGTTTAAGCCAAGCAAAGGCGGCAACAACAAACATCTAAACGGGGCTGGACAAAACCGGGAGTTATGTAAGCCGACCGAAGCAAGCAGGTGATTAAAGCGGTGATGAAAATGTGTCAGTGAACTGGCGAAAAACTGAAGTTGACTGAGAATCAGTTAGAAGAATGTAAACAGAATATAAAGTTTATTCACACAAATTTTCGGAGAAAGGTAGAATCCAGAAATGAATATGGACCCGGAGTTACACCTTTTATTTGACCCGAAAAGGGACTAAAATTCTTTTAGAGAGCCATCAAATTTAGAAAAGCGAAAAATACATTAACAATAAGGCAGCCAGAAAGGCAAACAATAAAACGTCAAATGGTTCGGCGCAGAAAGTAAAAACAACAAAAAAAACAAAAGACTGAAGAGACAAACTCATTTTGGTCGTCAACTTTCTCGGGCCAAAACGTAAAAGCTTTTGAAACGCATTCCAATCCCCGGATAAACATTCGCATTTAGTTGAGTATTAATAAAAAATATATGCATATAAAAAAATTGGGTTGGCAAAAGCAAAGAATCCGCCATGTATCATTCAGCGTTGACCTAGAAATTATGCAAAAGCCGAAGCCAAAAAAACTCTTAGATGGTACAAGTTGACAGCTTTCTGGGAGGGAAGTTCCCGGCACAAATCGGTTTTCTTGGCACGCAGTTTTTTTGGCTTGCTCAAGGCACCGACACCGACCTAGGCTCTGACTCAGGTGGCGATCGAAAATGAAATTTTGTGATTTCAACTTCACTCGCTGTTTCAAAAAGTGCCACAAAAATCGCATTAGTAATAGCCACTACATGGGAAAAAGCATGATATTGCATTTTGTATAGATGTATTTTTATTTTTTCGGGCTCATTTAATATCATTCACAAAACGCACAACTGGAGAAATATGATTATGAAAACTGAAGCGTTGATAAGTCGACTTCGGGGCACCCAGGCCCCACCGAACTTGCGACATGCATTTGTAAAGTTCATTAATGGATTTTGAACCGAATCTGAAGCTGTTCGTTATGCGATCCTACCCATATTGGACAATATTTATATTTAACTTTTGCATAATGGCTTTGGATGGTCTGATGAGACATTAATTGGTGATAGGGGGAAACTTCCCCGAAACTTGACGATAGTTAATAGTACGTTTTCGACTCATTTCGATCCGATTAACACATCTAAATACCGTTTTTCAAGTATGTGAATGCAAATATTGATACACTGACACCTCCCCGAGTTGAGGAAAACCTACGCAGCTGGACCGGAGAGATGGTGACCGCGTTGTTTACTGAGTAATTTTGACATAATGAACCGTTATGTCAACGGAGGGCCGGGCGCCTGACGTTGGCGTTGGAGTCAAAGTTGGGCCCGAAGTCAGAGCTATAACCTTGAGCCACCTCCGTGACTCAATTTGGCGAGCGAAGTGCTCGGCTTGGCCATGTTGTAATCCGTGTGTGTTTACTGTACGAAAAGCAAAACAAGATTGTTACAATTTGGTAAAAGTGCAACGTCAGTTGTCGTTGAACCCCAGACAGAAAACAAAAAAAAATGGAAAGTAAACTTGGATAAACTTTACGTGTCTTGGCTGCTCGACAAATCGAATTTTTCGGTCTGCCGCTTAGCATGCAACCAGTAATGTGAGTTATAGTTCGAGAGCAATGATCAGACATTGAACGATGCTCAAAAAAGCGACGCTTCATCTTATGATTTCTGCCATTGATTCGCTGTTCGGGTCAAGACGGCTTTTAACGTTGAACAAGTGCGAACGCTAATGTTCTATTTATGTTAAGTACGATAATCCTTCGTGCCCACACATTCATATGTGTCCAAATTAGCTTGTGACACTCTGTTTTTGGCATGATAAATGGCCAAACTAATTGCGCAGCTTATTTACAGTACAACAAATGAGAATGAACATGTTCTGCTCTGGACAGAAAGTATTGTAAACCTTAAAAGTATTTGGACAAAACAACGTAAAAATAAAAAAATAAAAAAAACATGCAATAAAAAAAATAAAAAGTTAAGCTGCGCCCCCGGGTGGACTCGAACCACCAACCTTTCGGTTAACAGCCGAACGCGCTAACCAATTGCGCCACGGAGGCAGTTGGTGCTGTGCCGGCGAATGTTCTAATTGGACCTAGTGGGCTCTCTCGCTCGCCGGTGCTATTGGGCTCACAGGAAATTAAGCTGCTAAGCAGTTCTTATTAGATTTTATTTATGTTCTTATCTGATTTGTTCCCGGTTTTTGTGTGCGCTCTGAAATTTAGTACTTTTTTCGGTGCTCCCGTGGCCTCCGTGGCGCAATTGGTTAGCGCGTTCGGCTGTTAACCGAAAGGTTGGTGGTTCGAGTCCACCCGGGGGCGACTGAACTTTTTTTGTCCCCGCTTTTAATAAATTGTTGTTGTAATTTTTTTTTCAAATTTAATTGCGGTAAAATTATATGGCCGCATACTTAAGTTCTTTAGGCGAGTTAATGAACATTATTAGGGGTTTCCTTGTTATTGTGCTTTTATATTTTCGCTTTTTGTTGTTCAGTGAGATATAGTGATGAACAAGGGCATTTGTTGAGATTCGTTTAGGCAAACAGCAGCAAAGTGAGGCAACCAAAAACAATGCGTGTCTAAAGTTTAAGTTGAAGGTGTCGATGAACAAAGCCAAATAGACACGGCAACGAGCAACACGCGGTACACATGTCAGTAGGTATATAGATCCATTTAGCGATACTAATATACGTATCTGTATAATAGAGACTTTTGTCTTTTCACCTTCACTAGACAAATCGCATTGGGGCATGCACGCAATTTAAGAATTTTTGAAACGATTTTGGGTAATGCGATTTTTAGTGTTCCTAGTAATTCTAGACTGAGCTAATCTTTTTGTTCTCCTTGCCCTTACAGATGACGTGCGGCATATCGTGTGTCGATAAGACACTAAACAAATCATTTTACCATCTAGGAATATGCATAGCCAAGCATCCTGGATACTTTATCATCATCCCGGTGCTGCTGACGCTGCTCTGCATGACGGGGTAAGTGGATCGATGTCACCTTCTGATGGAAACCGCTAATTAATAACTTTAATATTTTTCAGATACCAGCAGCTAAAGTATCAAATCGATCCCGAGTATCTATTCTCGCCGATTGCGGGGGAGGGCAAGACTGAGCGTGCCATTGTTGAGCAATACTTCAAAGTTAATTATACGCATCGTTTCAACGTCGGACGCATAACGAGACCCGGTAAGTGGCGGCAAATATGTGCACTGGGTGACTACTGTGGCAAACATCGGTGGAATAAAATTAACTTAGACTCACGTCGCACAATTAAATGTTTCAACACTTTTTTGCACCTTGACGAATGTGGCTGGCTATCTGCCGGCTTTCCCATAACCAAACTGTTCCCTTTGCCTCCCCTGCACTGACTTTCGGCCGAAATGTGCAATAAACAATTTCAGCACACGGCTAAGATGGAGACATAATATCTTAGCTTTTATTGAGGTCTTGAACTCGGCTCTGTTTTACAGGCTATTAACTTCGCTAAATGGTTTATTGGGCAAAAAACAAGCGAAACCCTCACTGCCGAGCAACAGCATTGGTAAAAGTAGAAACATTAGCAATAATTTCAGCTACAACAATGTCAAAAGCTAACTTCAGCCGAGTACCTTATAATTGCCAAATGTCGCAGAGCCATGAAAACTTGAACAGTGAATACGTTTTTCATTCAAACCAATTTTTTGGAGAAATTATTCTGTAATAACAGAGCGATTTTACAAGGTCATGGCATATTGTGAAATTCAATTCGAAATACTTATTTTAATTGTATTGCTCGAGTGTGTTTAAGTGTGGGCCAAACCCAATTGGCAGTCTAGATGTGTATTGCACAAACTTAATTATTATAAATGCGAATTGTGGGGCCTAGCAACTAGGTGCAGTAGTTTCTTACCTAACGCTAAGCTTTCGCATAATTTAGGCTTAGTTTTTCCAGTCGTTTAAATGCCTGTGGCAAACATAAATTTAGTAATCCCAAAAGATGGGAGAAACGTGTGCTCTAAGCAAATGAGCTACGAATTAAATAAAGTTGTTTTCTACAAACGTCTCGAAAGTTTTCTGCTCCAAAAGCTTAACTTGCAATTGTTCTTTCGAAATCATTAGACCCATTCTGCGAAGATGTACTCAATGTGCACTAAGATGCATGCAGATCGAGTATGTCAGAGTAGTAAATAACGTTTGCGTAGAGCTCACGAATGCAATCCACGAATGCACACGGAAAAAAAATGTATATGAAAATGACGAAATGCCAGCTTATTTCATATCAACAACAAGTCCATAAGATTAATGTCAAATTTATGAATCCAGCATATCAACTTGATCTTTTATCATATCAGTTATTTCATAAAAATTATAGAAATATTGTTTTAAAACACCAAAAAAAATATTTTTTGGACAAAGAATATAAAACAAGATAAACATAACCGTTATTGATTTCTAATTGATATGAATAACTTGATTTTTAAAGGACATAAAATTGACCTGCACATCTCAATCTGATATTTTGTCAATTTTTTTTTCGGTGCATGGCATCTATGTCTATTGAAGACTCTAACTCCGATTCGGCTCATCATTGAACTTTGTTTGGACACTCGACTGGAAAGAGGCAGCTTAGATAAAAAAAACCCGTCGAATGTGTGGAGGCCACAAGCAATCCGTGCAGATACACAGACAAACAGCACACGATTGCTGTTGCTGCTCAACGGTATTATCTAGACCGCATTTAGTCGGTTACGACCAGTTAGCCACCAAGCTCAGTGCTCCGCTTCGATTGCACTTTGGCCAAATGTGCCTCAAGATGTGTGCAAGGCAAGCTGCAACTTTCCCCTGTTTTTTGGATGGAAATTTGTTTATGGAGCGCAACAGAGGAAAACCCAAAATAAATAATTAAATTACTCGCTTTGTTACTCCGGCAAAATGATAAATTAAAAGAAACTGATGTGGCCGATAGATATTTTCAAGCCTCATTTATTATACACTTTAGTTGATCCTGGTGCCGGAAGGCAAGGATTTCCGGATGTTTGTTTTCCTGAATAATAACAAATTGTTACATTTTTCTTAATTGTCTGAGTGACTTGGAATTTGTCGGCGTAAAAACGATAAACCAATAATTTAAATCATCAATTCATTTGATGAATTGAAAAGACTTCTGGTTTATTCGGGTCTGCAATCAATGGAGGTTGCCTTTGTTCAATCTTGTGAATCATTCATAACAAAAAGTGCCTGTACAACGTGAATCGTTTGCTGATGGCATTTAATATTTGATCAAATTCAAGTTCATTCACAAACTTAATTAAACTCCGAAATCGCAGGTTTAAATACCCTTTAATTTTTCAATTTGTAATTTATCAAGAGAGATTTATTGGGTGCTAGCTATATTTAATCTTGAATATTATTAGATTCAGCATCGTTGTTTTATTTATATCATGAAAAAAAGTTACATTTCTGCATATTGATTTCAAAGATTTATATATGAATGGGTGATTGTACGAGAAGCTTGGCACGTTATCCAATTCCTTAAAGTTTTATAGTTAGTTATACATATATCTAATATAAATTTCGCATCAATACTGTGACGCAAGTACACGAGGCTGCATTTGTTATGGCGCATTAAATACAAATAACGATTGGGACAATCGGCTAATATCAAGTGGAAGTGCGATAAACGGCCAAACACAAGCTCAAACGAAATAATCGAGCGAAACCAAAATCCAATGAAATTCAATTAAAATTATTGTCACGTATTGGCGTGTGGGTAACAGCAGCAGCAGCAGCCGTTTTAGCCTTCAAGCCTAAGTCCACAAAGTCACCAATTGTTTGCCAACTGTTTTCTGGAAACTTAGCCATGGTCACCCTGTCGCTAATCCGAGATCTTTGCTGCGTTTTCAGGTCGTTTCGGGCGAGTCATTGTGATAACGAAAGATGGCGACGAGAATATGATAAGGCGCGAGGTGTTTCAGGAACTGCGACAGCTGGACAATCTTATCCAGAATGCCACCACCACTTACGATGGGGATACGTACACCTACAAGGACAACTGTGCCCGCTGGGAGAACGAGTGCTTCGAGAACGATATTCTCAACCTGGATGCGATTATGGATGATGTGAGTAGAGTGGAACTTACAAGAACTGTTGTTTCCCACACAGAAAAAAAGTTACATTTCTGCATATTGATTTCAAAGATTTATATTAAAAACGTATTGTATTAAATAACAAAAGATATTAACTTGCAAGATTAAATTTGAAACTATTTAAATCAAGATAGAAAATGTTAGATACAATGTTAGTAATATTTTAATTTTTTTTTTTTAAAAAAAAGTTTAATATTTTATTTATACTGTAATAGCTATTTAATATATTTATAATATTTTCATAATTAAAGTTATTGATAAACAGCAAAGAATATTTCAATTTATTGTGAAATCTTTTACTACATTCTTATTGAATGTAAACCTCACCCTTTCAATATTAGCTTAAAATTTAATTTATTTCCTTCTTCAATATTAGATCGAAGCTGGTCAGCTGAATTTGACTTTTCCCTTCATGTTCAATCCAGTCACGTGGGATGCCCACCTGTTTCCCGTCTTCTTTGGCGGCACCAAGCTAACCGAGGACAATCATGTGATCAGTGTTCCCGCTATACAGTTAGTGTATTTCGTCACGGCAGACACCAAACGTCAGGATGCCAAGTGAGTAGTAATATCTTCTTAAATATATATCGAAATTAATAATATTTTGCAATTAGGGGTGCCGAATGGGAGGAGACCTTCCTAAGGGTGGTTGGCAATGCTGAGGACTCGGGCCGTTTCAAGCACATCTCCGTCTCGTATTTCGCCTCCCGGACTTTGGATCACGAGCTCGAGAAGAATACAAAGACAGTGGTGCCCTATTTTAGCTCAACTTTTCTGCTAATGGGTCTCTTCAGGTATGATGTTAGTTTAAACTCTACTTGTATTGGGTCTAACTCTTGTGTATTTTAGCATCATCACCTGCATGATGGGCGATGCAGTTCGTTCGAAACCCTTCTTGGGTCTCATGGGCAATGTATCGGCCATTATGGCCACCCTGGCTGCTTTTGGCCTGGCCATGTATTGCGGCATAGAGTTTATTGGCATCAATCTTGCTGCCCCATTCCTGATGATCGGTATGTTTGCCACAATCCTTTAAGTTTTTAAATAATAATAATATGTTTTCTATCACAGGCATTGGCATTGATGACACTTTTGTAATGCTGGCTGGTTGGCGACGCACCAAGTCCAAAATGCCGGTGGCCGAACGCATGGGTCTCATGATGTCCGAGGCGGCGGTTTCGATCACCATCACTTCGGTCACCGACTTCATTTCGTTCCTGATCGGCATCATCAGTCCCTTTCGATCGGTTAGGATCTTCTGCACGTACTCGGTGTTCGCCGTCTGCTTCACGTTCCTGTGGCACATCACTTTCTTCGCCGCCTGCATGGCCATTTCGGGCTACAGGGAGCGAAAGAATTTGCATTCCATTTTCGGCTGCCGGGTCCAGCCCATGTCGGTTGCAATTAAAGGTGAGTGAACGCAGCTTGTTGTTGTTTTGCAGTCTTATTTTGGAGTCTTATTGATGATTTTTCGATTCATACACTTGTAAAAAAAAATATGCAAGGAAACAGTAGATATATTTATTTATTTATTTATATTCTGATTTTGAGGCAATTACAAATGGCCTCAAAAAAATTTTTTATTTTTTTTTTGGCTATAGCTTCTAGGTCTTAAAAAGAGTAGATATAAAATGTAACTATTCTATTAAATTTGTTATTAATAGCGAAAGCAACAAAGGTGTCCATTTTCAACACTTTTATTTTTATTTATTTATTTTTTTTTTTTATTTTGTGCTTTGGTTTTATATATATTTTGAGTGTATCCACTGCAAGGTCTAGCTTAGCCAACCGAAATGTGGATAGCACCACAACCGGATCGAAGTAGTCACAGTTTAGATGGCTTAACACCAGCAGCTGCAACATGAACTTGATCATGAGATAGAAACAACCAAGTAGACTAGTCACAGTTTTTAGCAAGTGCTGCTGACTACAATTGAGGCCAATGGAAACTTGTCTCACCACACTTCTTACAATCGTTTCTTTTGGTCCCGCAGAGAAGCGCAACTTCCTCTACAAGGCGATAATGGCGGGTGGCATCGACCCCAACGACCCGGACAACCCCATCGACAACAAGGACCACATGCTGATGGCGTTCTTCAAGGACAAGCTGGCCGCAGTGATTAACAACAAGTGGTGCAAGGCGATCATCATCTTGGCCTTTGCCAGTTATCTGGTGGGAGCCTGCTACGGAATAACCCAAATTAAGGAGGGCCTCGAAAGGCGAAAGCTCTCCCGGGAGGACTCGTACTCGGTGGAGTTCTTCGATCGCGAGGACGATTACTACCGCGAATTTCCATACAGAATGCAGGTCAGTTCTTGGACGGAAAGAGAATTTCAAGCTCATTGTTCTTGAATTCAGAAAATAAAAATGTTCTTGATATTATATTAAAATGGTGAGAAGAGTTTTCTCCTAAACTTATTTTTTTCAACAACTTTTTGGCTAGATTAATTATTTTGTTGTTGAGATAAACATTGTAAATACCGCCAATATAACTTGATTCGAGCACACTAAAACATTTTCAACTCGTTATATTTATGAGAACATTTTTATCTTGAGATCTTCAGAATTCAGAAAATCACAATCCAATCTAATCTGATTCATTTTCTTTTTGATCCAGGTCATAATTGCAGGTCCTCTGAATTACTCGGATCCCATTGTGCAGGAACAGGTGGAGAATCTGACTAGCACCCTGGAGCACACCTCGTATGTGACGTCTAGACGGTACACAGAGTCCTGGCTGCGGTCCTTCCTCTCCTTCCTGGAGCGCAACAACGAGTTACTCAATGTGACGGTGGACGACGAGCAGACCTTCATTGATGCGGTGAAGGAGCACTGGCTATTCCCCGGCAATCCCTTCTCACTGGACGTGCGCTTCAACGACGATGAAACGCAAATCATTGCCTCAAGATTTCTCATCCAGGCGGTTAACATCACGGATACCAATCACGAAAAGGAGATGGTGCGGGATCTGCGACAGATTTGCAAGGACTCGCCCCTGAATGCCTCGATATTCCATCCCTACTTCGTGTTCTTCGACCAATTTGAGCTGGTGCGACCGGTTTCACTGCAGGCCATGGTGATCGGGGCCATCATCATGATGATCATCTCGTTTGTCTTCATACCGAATATCCTGTGCTCCTTGTGGGTGGCCTTCTCGGTCATTTCCATCGAACTAGGCGTCGCTGGATATATGGCCTTGTGGGACGTTAACCTGGACTCCATTTCGATGATCAACCTGATCATGTGCATTGGCTTCTCGGTGGACTTCACCGCCCACATCTGCTACACGTATATGTCGTCGAAGAAGCGCAGTCCGAAGGCTCGGGTCCGCGAGGCTCTTCACTCGCTCGGCCTGCCGATTGTCCAGGGTTCCAGCTCCACCATCCTGGGCATTGTGGCCCTCTTGCTGGCCCAGAGCTACATCTTCCTGGTCTTCTTCAAGATGGTCTTCCTCGTGATCTTCTTCGGCGCCATGCACGGACTCTTTTTGCTGCCTGTTCTCCTCTCGCTCTTTGGACCCGGCTCCTGTCTCACCTGGACTGGAAAAGACGATGGCAGCGATGCCGAGGTGGACGACAGCCTGGACGAGCGGCAGCTGGAGAAGCCCTTCTCGCAGTCCTACTACATGCAATACCCCACCATGGGCATAAATGGACCCTACGGCACCAAGGGCTTTATGGGCGCTCCGTACAAGGCGTATGGCGTGGACGAGAAAGATCTGGGACTGGGCACGTCGGGCGAGGACTCCTCGGAGAGCAGTTCGAGTCGATCGCAGCGTCGTCAGCAACAGGCTGCTGCCATCACCGCCGAGGAGGAGGTGGTCGTTCGGGAGTCACCACGTCGGCGGTACGAAGAGGAATGTTGGCGTCGCTCCTCCTACCAGAATATCTACGGCCAGGGTGCAGCGCAGTTCCAGGCCCAGCCCGATCTCTATGGCCAGCAGGTTTCGGCGGCCGAGTGGCGCCAGCGCCTGGACAAACACGAGCAGCAGCAGCGCCAGCGACAGCGAAGGAATCCCTACGATAGCTATCACCAGGATAAGGATCTGGATATGGAGATGCAGAGGGCGCGGCGCAATTCGCACGGCGATGTAATCGATATGCATGGTGGAACGCCCAATTCCTCCGCAGACGAACGGCTGCGCAGGGAGCCCTTCAGTGCGGGCAGCGGTGATGATAGCAGTTATCGACATCCATCAGGAGTTGTTCCCCCAGCGAAGCGGTATCACCGACGACGCTCCTCGGAGGATTCAACTCATCGCCATCAGCGTTGGCCGGCAAACATCGAGGAACGGAGGGCGCGACGCACCCATTCACCTGCCCAAAATCGCCCAGAGACTGCCACGCCTAGTTACGCCTACCGCTCCTCATCGCACCACAATCTCTACCAGCCGAACGGGAAGGGATCCAAGCATCCGCCCACCTACCAGTATGGCGACTACTTCCAGTGAGGGAGATTCCTAATATATATATATATATATAGAGAAGTGGGTGGGTGGGTCAACCGTTTAGGAGAGATTTACCAAAAAGTGAAGTAGTATCTGGACAATCACTAGCCCTATATTTGACTTTGATTTTACTTTGCAGAACAGCCAACTTAAAATGCCTCAGGATTGTCCATATATTACTTTCTGAATCATTTTGGTATTTAAGTTTTGTGGCATCTATTGCAATCAACCCATCCAGGTAGCAGAGCAAATTGTCTTGTCAAACGATATTTAGGTTACGCATCTGTTTCTGTCTTCACTTTTCCTAAGCTTGCCCCGCGTAGACTACATATCTAAACGAATACCCAGATTAGGCTATCCACTCCACAATGATTTATTTCGTTGTGAACTCAAAACTTTGTTCGATCTATTTATCCCTAGCATTTCATTAATACGAGCTCGAGTCAGACAACTTAAGGTACCATCTACACATTACTGTACACCTAGTTTCATGTATGCTACTTCTTGAGTCAGACTTTGGGTTCCCCATATCAGTGTTTATTTAAATTAATTTAGTTTTAGTGCGAGTACGAGTGCGTCGAGTTCGTTCTGTTCAATAATGTTTTGTATAGCAAAAGCAACGCTAAGTAAATATTTAATAACTATTAACTGATAAGAATGGCCGCATCAAGGCCCTAGCGCTGTTAGACTTTTTGGACAAGGTTGTAAAGCGTTTACAATTTTTTCTATTTAATAAAATTTTATATTTTCCTAGAAACGATAGGCTTAATGACTTTTTGAGTTACTTTTAATGGGGGATATCTCATGGCCAAGGCCATATAAATGACTTTGTTTCGGGCGGCGGAATATTCAGTATGCTTTCCGTATTGTTTATTATCTGTAACCTGCCTTTGTGGGTAATAGCTTTCCATAAGGCCAACGAAACGGAGCCACGATGCAATCCGCAATTTCAGTGCGATACATATTTTTCTGTGGCTGGTTTTGCAGAGGTTTGTTCTGTTTCTTAAATATTTCTGATTTACCAAATATTTTCGGCATTAAGGTAAGCTGGATGGAAGCTAACTACATATGCAATAGAGCTGGCGCCGTTCTAGCAACTGTCAGAAATGAGGAACACCATCAGCTGATGCTTCACTACGTTCATAAGAAGGGTAAGATTACCATCCTAATAAATTGTGAAAGCTTCAAACTATCTTTATAGAAGTGCTGTTTGGCAACAAGACTTTCTGGCTGGGAGCCACAAATCAGGTGGAGCGCACATACTTCTGGACCTGGCTGAGCACTGGCATTCCCGTGACCTACGGCCAGTGGGGCAGGAGGGAACCCAAGTCCGATCGGACTGGAGAAGACGCCTGTATGATCCTTGGGTTAGACAGTTTGTGGCACAGTGCTCCCTGCAATCAAAAACACTATTTTATCTGCGAAAATGTTTGCATGCTAAATTATACATCGTTAGACAAGAGAGTGTATATCTAAAACTGTATCTTGAGAGGCAGAAATAGCTGTTAAAATTTTTAAAGATTCAACAAAAGTTTTCCTAATAAATTGTAAACAGATCACTAAATAAATTTTACAAAGCAATATCAAGCAGCAAAGACATATAACTTCCATTATTATTTGACCGAATCATAACTGTGATGAAATTGCAATGGGTTTCTTAACTCGAATAAAACGTCCTTGCTTTTGCAAAACGGCAAAATCTTTGCGCTAAGTTAATTTGTTTAATAAATGATTCTTTTGTAACAAATTTTGCAAATAGCGTTAACAAAGTAAAAAGTATTTGATTTTCGGGAATCTAATAGTATGGCGTTTTTCGGAAAAAATTTAGCGCTTTTATTAAAACTTGTTTAATGAGGACGACCCCATCTTAAGCTAGATGGCGCTGACAACCGCGTATTTTCATCTCCCTCGCACTCTCTTTAGCTAAGTAACGGGTATCTGATAGTCGAAGTACTCGACTTAAAAATTTTGGTGGAAATATCCCTATTTTCCCCCGAAAGATTTGATCATATTTAATTTGAATAGTAGCTACTAGCTATTAATATTTCGGCAAAAATAGACTTACCAGAAAATGCTAGAGAAAATGCTCTAAAAACTGTCCAAAAAACGTTTCATTCTACCAACAAAAGATGAATGAATTCTTTTCCAATTTAAAACTCTTTCCCATTTGTAGTTTTTAATGCTCATATTTTGCTGATATTTTTATTACCAACGCCAATCGGGTTTTGGACATATTTTGTCCATTTATATAGGTTGACAAAGCTTCTCGCAAACGAAGTAGCGCTGTTGGCTGCACTCCTCGTTCACCCAGAGACCTGTGATTCCGTTGATGCTCAGGCACTGGCTGTAATTGTTGGGGTATCCGTTCTGGAAGTTGCGATAGTTGAGGGCGCGTCCCTTGCTGAACCACACCCAGTTGTTGTTGCTGGCCAGGTCGGTGCCGGAGGTCCAGAGCGGATCGTCTAGAAGGTCCTGCTGGTTCCGGGCGTAGGTGTAGAGGAAATTGCGCAGGATGCGCTGATCAGTCTCCGAGGTGATGCTCACCAGCGTGTACCCATAGGCGGCACAGGTGATCTGGGCCTGGTACCAGTTCACCTTGGCAAAGGTGCCAATGGCGTACTTGCCATCGCCCAGACTGAAGGGCGAGAAGGCAGGTACCTCGGCCTCATCGGAGGTTTCGTTGCCAGGTGCCGGGGATGTGGGCGAAAGCTGAGGTTCCGGCAAGGACCAAGCCAAGCCAAAGAGGAAACTGATCAGGAAGAGGGAACGCATTTTGCTCACTATGAATAAGTCGACAAGGCGAACTTCCCTTATATAGCCAGAGTACTAATTGCACTTCCCGACCATCATTTATCAATGTCACTAGATAACTTGCCAAATCCAAGTACTTTCCCTAAATTGGCTATGAAATATTTACCAACATAAAATAGCAAGAGCTGGAGTCAAACAAATGAAGGTACCATCTACATATTTGTGTACCCCTACAGCCAAAAAAAACTTGTTATGAAACGATAATCAATTTGATATTATCAGGTATAAATTTTGACTTTATATTCGGCATCTCAACTCGATATGGTCGAAATGTAAGCAGTTCTAAGTCCTTTTCACTCATGTAACTTAAGGCCTTATCTCGCTCTATTTATAATTGAGAGAATTCGTTCTTTGTGACATTCGTTATGATGATTATGATGATTTCAGTCAGAAGTTTGCAACGCAACCATATTTCGCAAAATAAATCTATATAAACACATATGAAATTTTATATAATATGCAAACAGCAGGCGCACCAACAAGTTTGAATTAACCAAATTATCGTTTCCAGACTGGTGCGGTTTTTTTCCAAAGGTTATATATAGTAAGCCATAGTATTTCATAGTAAACCATAGTAAACCATAGTAAACCGTAGTAAAGCATAGTAAACCGTAGTAAACCATAGCAAACTGTAGTAAACCATAGTAAACCGTAGTAAACCGTAGTAAAGCATAGTAAACCGTAGTAAACCATAGTATGCCGTAGTAAACCGTAGTAAACCGTAGTAAAGCATAGTAAATCGTAGTAAACCGTAGTAAACCGTTGTAAACCATAGTAAGCCGTAGTAAACCATAGTAAATCGTAGTAAACCGTAGTAAAGCGCAGTGAAGCGTAGTAAAGCATAGTAAACCATAGTAAACCATAGTAAGCCGTAGTAAACCATAGTAAACCATAGTAAACCGTAGTAAACCATAGTAAATCGTAGTAAATCGTAGTAAACCGTAGTAAACCGTAGTAAACCGTAGTAAACCATAGTAAACCGTAGTAAAGCATAGTAAACCGTAGTAAACCATAGCAAACTGTAGTAAACCATAGTAAACCGTAGTAAACCATAGTAAATCGTAGTAAATCGTAGTAAACCGTAGTAAACCGCAGTAAACCGTAGTAAACCATAGTAAGCCGTAGTAAAGCATAGTAAACCGTAGTAAAGCATAGTAAACCGTAGTAAACCGTAGTAAAGCGTAATAAACCATAGTAAATCGTAGTAAACCGTAGTAAGGCATAGTAAACCGTAGTAAACGGTATTAAATTGGAATACAAATTCGGTATTAAACTGAAATGTAAGCTGCAAACTGTAAAATAATGTTGTCTAAAAGATTACTGGTTTTTCCGAACTTAGTTCAGTCTGAATCACTGTATAGACGCATACAAAACAATCATATTATCTTTGGAAAAATACAGAGACCCATTTCATCTGGAACAACGAACCAGGAGATTGGAAATGAAACTGAAACAAAGACCACGCACTGACTTCGCCTCGTGTTACATGCGTTTTGACGACTCACAAGGTACGGCCATTATAAATTAAATCGTTATTTAAAACGGAAACTCGCTATAATTGGTAAACGCGAGTCAAGCCAGAAAAATCTTGCGCGGTAACATTATATAACCTTAAAAATGTTGCACAGTGTATTTATACTATTATGCCCATGTGCTTTTTTGGTGGAAATATCCTCTGGATACATGAGTTGATCATATTTAATTTAAACAGTAGAAAGTATTAAAACTTCGGCGAAGATACCCTGCAAAATAAGCAAATGCTACAAAAGCTGGTCAAAAAGCATTGCCTCCACCAACAAAAGATGAATGATGTGAAACTAAAGCTTTTAGGCATGTTCAAGAAGAACACTTTTTATAATAAATCTCTTAGTAAAGTTACTAACGTAAAAAACGATCTGTGACTTAAAACCTTCAAGGCGGCAGTGCCGAACAATTGTACTTTTAAGTACAGGGGACTTGAGCCTGACCATAAAATTAGTTTTCGCGGGAGACCGTTGATAAGGCTCCCGCTCTTTGCGAAGACCATACACCGAGAAAAAAAACCGTTCTCATCGATGTTGATTTTAGTATTTTCGATCACAAAACCTAGCCGAGATCGAAAATACTAAAATCAACATCGATGTCATCTCGGTTTTGAGAATGGTTTTTGAGTATGTGTGCTATCGATATCGAGATGACGTCTTCTCGGTTTCAACATCGAATCGATGTCGATTTTAAGATACAAATTGAATAAGAAGAAGAAAAAAAAATAATTGAGGAATCGGGAATTTTGCCTCTTGCACCCCCTCCTGTCCCCCCGTTTCTCAACTTATTTTTCTTTCCTTTATTTAAACACTTGGATGACGTCACACTATACTATGTTCGTATATAAGAACACATTTAGTTTCAAATTTTAACTGAAACAATAACAGAAATTATTATATAATAAATAAATGATAAATATAAAATTCAAATAACTTACTATCTTGGGAAAAACACCTTTGGTCGGTCGTGGGAATCGAACCCGTTGCCTCACAGTTTGCAGTCAAACACTCTACCAGCTGCGCCATGGAAGCATCACATGAGGCGCTGTACAAAGTTCAATCACATTTTGTTCTCTTGGGTTCTTGGTTTTTACTCTTATTAAGCCATTTATGTGTGTTAGATTAACAAAATCCTAATTTGTATTAAATATAAATATTAATGAGTAAAAAAAAAAAAAAAACGCAAAGAATTTCCGCCTCGTCGCGGGACTGAACACACACTTCCGACTATACGCTTACAAAACATATAATCCGCACGCTTTAGTCCCCTAGGCTACCGATATCATGAAGCATGACTGCCCGATAGCTACAAGAGAGGAATTCGGCCTCTCCGCCCTTTTCCTCTCATTTTTTCGATGTCTTTTCCTCACGTCCCTCTTCCACAACATAAAAACTGAGATTGACTTTGACTGGGAATACTAGAATCAACACTGCTTTCATCTTGATATCAAGAAGAAAAAAGTGAGAATACAAATACTAAAATCAAGATCGGTCGATGTTGATTTTTTTCGTTCTCAATTTTTCTGGGTGTAGAAAATTGTATTATAATAATCCCATGTTAGTTACCTAAACCAAGACTTAATAAAATAAAATCAGTTGTTATATTGAACTCAACGATGATTGATTTTTTCTTTATTACAGTTTTTAAGGCAATTATTTTCAAATTAAAAACTCATTCCCATTTTCGTTATTTGCTTGCACTTATTTTGCTCTTTCTTTAATTAACCAACACCAAATGGTTTTTTGACTAATTTCGCAAGTCTTTAGGTTAATTAAGGTCGTCGTTAAACTCACAACGCTTCTCGCAAATGAAGTAGCGCTGTTCGCCGCAATCCTCGTTCACCCAGTGTCCGGTGATTCCGTTGATGCTGACGCAGTGACGGTAACCATTGGTGGTGGGATATCCGTTCTGGAAGTTGCGATAGTTGAGGGCGCGTCCCTTGCTGAACCACACCCAGTTGTTGTTGCTGGCCAGGTCGGTGCCGGAGGTCCAGAGCGGATCGACCAGCAGGTCCTGCTGGTTCCGGGCGTAGGTGTAGAGGAAGTTGCGCAGGATGCGCTGATCAGTCTCCGAGGTGATGCTCACCAGCGTGTACCCATAGGCGGCACAGGTGGCCTGGGCCTGGAACCAGTTGACCTTGGCAAAGGTGCTAATGGCGTACTTGCCATCGCCCAGACTGAAGGGCGAGAAGGCAGGTACCTCGGCCTCATCGGAGGTTCCATTTCCTTCAGGAGCCGGGGTTGAGGATGAGAGCTGTGATTCCGGCAAGGCCAAAGCCAAGCCAAAGAGGAAACTGATCAGGAAGAGGGAACGCATTTTGTTCGCTATGAATCAGTCGACAGGGCGAACTTCCCTTATATAGCCAGCGTTCTAATTGCCCCTCCCCGGTCATTCATCAATGTCACTTAGATAAGCAGCTAAATCCAAGTACTTTCCCTAAATTGGTTCAGTTTGCTTGCCATAAATATTGCTTACCAGTAAATCTCAATATTAAGCGCTGCGCAAATCCGGTTGCCATTTTTATGTTAAGGTTTGCGCTCGCTTATAATTTTATATACCACCACACCCCCAAAAGCATTGCTGGAAATTTATCGAAAAAATGTAAAAAGCATATCTCATTTAACTCAGCTGACAGCTGGGGGAATCCGACGGGGGCGAAAAAGAGACGTTATGACGGGGTCAAGGATTGGCAATTGCCAAAGCGGAACCCTTGTCTAACTTTTCCCCATTCAATCTCGATGCACATTTCCTTTCGGTGCTGGCCAAGTGTTTACGAGTCCCACTGGGATTGAACAGCAAACGAAATGTGCAAACACAGATCGCTGGATTTCGCTCCACTTTTCTTGGGGGGGAAAATGACATAGAATCAAAAATTGCTTCTGCATTGTGGCAAGTGTGGCGTTCGTTCTGTGGGGCGTATACGTAATATGATTTCTGTGAAAGGCGTCCCATTTAGCATTGCATTTGCATTTGCCAATGCTGCACAATGTGCAAAAGATGCGTATTGCAATCAAGGTCATTTATTGTTAGAAAAAAGGTATACTTATAACCGAGTGGTCGGCACCCATATAAAATAACGATTCAAGATTCCAATCTCTTTACAAAAATATAAAAAGCTTTGCTATATCAGTGGAAACATGAAACATTGAAGAAGTAATTATAGAGAGTATCCCCATCTTTTTTAAAGAATCTGACCATACCAGACAATATCAGATGAATATAATATATGTCTAACTGACATTATTAGACATGTCGAAATATTTATTCAGACGCTTTTCAACGGGTCCTGTGGCGCAATGGATAACGCGTCTGACTACGGATCAGAAGATTCCAGGTTCGACTCCTGGCAGGATCGGATAACACTTTTTTTTATACACCAATTTGACAAATTCTATAAAAACGTTGAATGAAAAGAAGAAGATATAGTCGTGATCAGCAGACGCGTAGATACGACAGACAAATTATATGGATGTCATAGAATCTTATGGTAAACTTCAGTGGGCTAGAAATAAATTCGAAAATTAAAACTGATGTAAGATTTAGGCGTGGCAAAATAGTCCAAAAGATGCCTTAAAAATTACTCATACGATACGTATGACAGTCTAAATATAGTAAACAAAATCGTTCTCGAATTTCTAATCTTGAAAAATTTGAATTTCGAGAGTAAAATAAGAGAAGAATAAAATAACTTATTGATCGAAGGCAACAGTGCGTATGAGTAATATTGGTTAAGGCCAATTGGCGGACACGTTGTTTTCAACAAATTTTTGAATTCTTTTTTCATTTTTGCAAGTTAAAAAGTATTTTTAAAACAATCAGATCTTTTTGACATATATATATTTTAATTAAGTTAATTAAAAAGTAAGTCGCCCAACGTGGGGCTCGAACCCACGACCCTGAGATTAAGAGTCTCATGCTCTACCGACTGAGCTAGCCGGGCTATATGATAAAGCTTGACCACTACACATTTCAGATATCACGCTTCGCGATTAATACAGATCAATATAAATTTCAAGAAGTTTCAAAATGAATACATAATATTTATGTATATTTAACATTTATGCCATTCTGTAAATTGTTGCATTTTCATTAGAGGCTTTGATCGGTGTAGATCTGGGGATTGCCTATTTTGTTCTTCTGATTAAAAATTTAATTAACACCCGCCTCCTTTATCGCTGTTTTGAATTTTTAACATATAATGGGTTGAAATATAAAAGTTTTAAATCTCACACATAGTTTTTTAATTTTCATCTTTGCTACAGTTTAAGATTCTTGGTCGTGTCATGTTGAACTCGCAATTAAATTGTTAGACTAGTTGACAAGATGACATGATCTATTAGCTTTAGTTATTTGTCTTTGGTCGGTTGGAAGGAAAAATTGCAATTAAATTGGATGTGCTAGTGCGGCTACGATGCGGATGCTGAGAGCAAAGGACGACGACAAGATGGAAAGCACCCCTCTGACAGGATAAAGTCACGCAGGACAAATGCAACAAGGGCTCCTCGGCTAAGGCCAATGAGTGTCCCAACTTCTGCTGCTCCTCCTTCAACTTAATTTATGCTTCTAGCAGGAAAGAAAACTGGGGGATGAGCTTAGCTTTCAGCTATTGCACTTTTTTCGCAGCACGTAAAAGGAAGGTCGTCAAACACAAAGCGTGTTTTTATGGCAAAGATATTCATCGCAGGACCCTCAACTTGTTTATCTCGCAAGTCTTTTTAATCAGTAGGATGATCTTTTTATTAGGAGTGGTTATTATGTTCGAAAATTGTTTCAATGTTTAATTTTACTGGCGATTAAAATGTATAATTAGGTTCTTGTAGTTTTCGAAAGCACCCTATATTCTTCCATACATTATTTTACCATTATAATTTAATTTAAAAACATCGGAAATTATTATTACTTCTCCCAATTTACTATTTAACGCTGTTTAATCTTGATGACGTCCTCAGTTCTGTGACCGAAAAATCAGTACCGCGAAATGATTAATCAAGATTTTATCGTTCACTTATTCTTTACGTCTGTTTCTGTCAAATGTCCCCATTAAAGCTAAAGACATTGGCGGGGGGTCCAGGCGCCCAGTGCCTTAATTAAACAATTCCTGATATACGTAGCTGGCACAAAGTTTCGGAGGGGTAAAAAGTTTCCAGCTAATTAGAAGACCAGCAACAAAAAGGGAAGCCACGCAATTTGCGAGTTTATTAATTTTATGTCGATTTGCATGCAATTTCTGGCTCAAGGCGAAGCATTATCCTTGCTTTGCTTCGGTTATGATGCTGAATGCGAGCGTAATCTGGCGGAAAGACATTTATTCAATGGCTGCCACTGACTAATTAAAACTAATGGCCGAGCCAAGCCAAGCCAGTAACGACCCACTGTCAGCTATCAGCGGGTTCAGGTGGATCTCCCCCAGCTGAGTGGCTTTCCTTGTTTGATTCCTCCTGGATGAACTGCAATTCAATCGGAAGGTAAAACCACTCCCGTGAAAGGTGGCAAAAGTTACGCAATACTCGCATAAAAAGTCGCACGCGATTTCCCGATACGCCGGAGGGAGAATCCGCTTGCAAATCCAAACAAGAAGGTCAGTACAAAGTCATTGAGTTGCGTGCCACGCATTTGCAGTGCCCTTGTCAGTGGCAGTTGCAATGGCAGTGGCACCCTTAGAACAACTCAACTGTAAATTGGCTTAGCTGCAGTTTATCATTAAATTTGATGTCATTTTATTTCACGTTGCACCGCACGTAAATTTTTGATGCCGTATGTGGGAAAACGTGATGTGCTGATTCAATAAAGTACATCCAAATTTTATAGCACTATCCTCCCGAATATTCCAAATAGCCAACTTTCTTATTAAAAAAAAAAAACAAATAAAATTGATTATTTAATATTTTAAAAATCATATCAGATCATATTATACCTTTTCATAGGCCAAGGCTCTGAACAGCTTATATAGAGAGAACGAGTGATAAAAATCGATAGGGTATCGCAAAACCCCAAATTATGTCAAAATGATTTCTTGCACCGATTTATAAATTGAAATGTTTCAAGCTGTTCAACGTTTTTTTAAAGATTAGAGTTTCAATATTGTCCGAAATTAGTGCAGAATATACACTCTTCCAAACTCTTCCATGTCATCAGAAAACATTAGGTCGCCAGAAGCGACGAAGCGCAACGAAGGTGTGCTGCCTAGTGATGCAAATTGTTGTCGATTATGCCAAAATGATTTTTTCCACCGATTTAAAAATTAAAATATTTCAAGATGTTTAAAAAAAGTTTTTGTAATGATTAGTGTTTATAGATTTAAGAGCAAGTCTCTATAGTCATGAGTGGAACTCAGAGTATATTCCAAACCGCTTTAAAGTGTTTTTTTACGATTATAAGCATTTTCTATATTGTCCGAAGTTAGTGTAAATATAATCTCTAGGCAGGAGTGGAATTCAGAGTATAAGGCCAACACATAGTCCTACGACTTTCGCCAACGACCATACCACGCTGAACACATCGGTTCTCGTCCGATCACCGAAATTAAGCAGCGTCGGGCGCTGGTCATGAAACCACACATCTTTTCTCATATTTATCTTTTATATGTTAGGACTAAATCTCGGTTAGTAATCATAATATTAGTACATCTTATGTATTATTAGACATCCTCCGCTTAGCGCGGACCGAGTGAATCGACAATTACATTAAGTGCGCTAAGTGTTCCAGCGTAAATAAGTGTGTGCTTGGCGACAAGTGCAGTTGTATTCGTATGTACAGTTACTAAAGGGATATGGTCCTTTTGAAGGGGCAGAGACCCAACAGCCGTTGTTCACTGCGTTAGCAGTAAGCTGCAAATTGCCACCAAACTCTTGCCATTATGGCATTTTTCTTCAAGGATAATTGTCCACGGAGCGTCCTTGGCTTGTCACAGGGATAAAGCTGTCCCCTTCGTTGAACAAGGTTAAGCGCTGGTGTAAACATTCTCCGGGTCAATGGGAACATTAGTCATTATAAATTTTGTTTCATAAAAATAAGATTGTAAACATTTTATACCCTTCCAGAGCGTGTAATGATTTCAGTCAGATGTTTGCAACGCAGTAAAGGAGACGTTTCCGACCACATAAAGTATATATATTCGGTAATACTATACATTAGCGGGCTCACCCCCGAAATTCGCGAAAAAATTATCCTCGATGGACCGCGATTTCTTAAGAATTTACGTGCAAAAAGAATTTGGCGGTCGGCCATGGTTCTCTTGTAATTGAATTTTAAAGTTCCCGGGTTTGCTATAAAAAACAAGTATGCTTTTCTAACGTTTGCTATAAAAATTATATATGTATATATGTACCCTTTTCCTTTTTTGTCAAAATAAGACTAATTTAAAATTCCAAACATCTGAGTAATTGGTATTATAGGGAACTAGTCCTCACAACCGCGTAAAAATGATCCTCGATGGACAGCGAGTTCTTAAGAAATCTCATAACCATGGATGACCACATGTGTATTTTTATTATGATAATCAGAAGAAATCGCGGTCCAAGGAGGATTATATATTTTAACCTTTCTTTTAGTTTTTTCCACCCAAAACTAAACTTAAAGATTGAATTTGTTTTTTCTGAGCGACACACCAACCCTAATTCAGCTGAAACTACTAGCTTAATATTGAACAAAAAAACTGCGCCGCAGGCAAAAAAATTTAAAAAAATCGCGCGATTTTTCTTAAATTTTTTTGATTGCGCAGTTTTTTTTAATTTCTTTTTTAAACGCACTTCTTTCAAATACTTCCTATTCGGGAATACTTCAGCAGAGAGATATCTAGGCCATAAAAGGTTATTAAAGAAAAAACCTGGAACTTTACCTCAATGGTGGTGCGGAAAAGTGTTCATTAAAACTTTTAATTTAAAAAAATTCTACATTTTTTTATAGGAACTCATTTAAACAATTAAATAGTTTTATAGGAACTCATTTAAACAATTTATTAATTTAATAGGAACTCATTAAAACTTAATTACTTTGATTGAAAATATGAGAAAAGCACCCTTGTTTTTTATAGCAAACCCGGGAACTTTGAAATTTAATTACAAGAGAACCATGGCCGACCGCCAAATTCTTTTTGCACGTAAATTCTTAAGAAATCGCGGTCCATCGAGGATAATTTTTTCGCGAATTTCGGGGGTGAGCCCGCTAATGTATAGTATTACCATATATTCTTGATCAGCACCAATAGCCGAGTCCATCTGGCCATGCCCGTCTGTCCGTTTCTATGCGTTATCGCGATGAAAGTTAAAGTTATCGCGATGAAACTTTCCCGAAAGTCTTCTTTCTATTGCAGGTAGTACATTTGTCGGAGCGAGCTGGATCGGACCACTATATCTTAAGGCTCCCATAGGAATATTCAAACAAATATGAGAAAATTCATTGTAACTTTGTAGGCGTTTTGATTTTTGACAACTTAAAAACAAAATTTAAAAAATAGACACGCTGAATCTGGAATCCCTGGAACTGCACCGAGTGAGCATTAAACTATAGGTATTTACTTTATCTGCAAGGGTATATAAGCTTAGGCTGGCCGAAGGTAGCTTCCTTTCTCGTTGATCATAAAGCTGCCCTAGGATTTGAACAATTGGGTCTGAAGGAAAATAGGCCCCAAGAGCCATTTTAATTTTGGACAAATCTTAAATTTTCTTGTTTTATTAATTCCCATGCGCATTATTAAGATTTATTGGCGACTTCGACTCTCGATTTTTAAAGTAATTAGTTTTCGAGGCAAATCTTTTAAAGCTGCAAGCCTTGTGTACTGTTGACACTTCAGATTTGAAAAAACTACTCTATTCCTACAATTGAACGATTTGGTTCTGAAGGAAAAAAATGACCCAAAAGCAATTTAAATTTCGAATAAATCTTGAAGTTTCTAGTTTTATTGATCCCATGCGCATGATTAAGATTGTTATTTGGCGACTTCTACTCTTGATTTTTAAAGTAATTACTTTTCGATGAAAAGCTTTAAAATCGGCAAGCCTGGTATTTCGGGACTCAGTCGGGTTAACCTCTCTGTGCTACAAAGTTTCTTTAGAAAAATGTCTCAGTATTTTAAATTGTTCGTTACGATTGTAGTTCTTACCATTGTTGGGAATTCAATAGCTGATATTCCCAACTGTGACTATTTCAATACTGTTGATGTTTCGGATTTGGAAAGTATCAACGATACTTACATATATCAGGGCCTCGAAATTCCTTCTAACCGTATTGCGGAGTATAGTTATAGGAAGTTAGACAATGGATTCAGAGAGCCTGTGAAAGCTCACTTAAGAGCATGCGTCTGTGAAGTGAAGCCCTGTGTCCGAATCTGCTGCCCCCGAAAAAATATGTTAGCAAACGGAAAATGTAACGATGGCTTTAATAAAAAGATTATTTTGAAAATGGTAAACGTAATGGTAGGCGACCATATCCAGGAGGTAGGGTGGACTACCAAGTATTTCAGGTTGAGGGCTCAGTTTGAAATGTGCGATAAGATGTTCAGCATTAAAAAGAATGATTACGTTATGTGGAAGGTTTGTCATGCGACATGAAAAAATAGTACCTACTTTTCTAATACACGTTTTTTAGAACGGATCCCTAATCTTACACAACATTAAAAAAATCTGGACAAAAAAACAATACTGTCTGTATCCCCACTTTAATTCGGATGTTGCCGATTCCATTTGGGTCGTTAAACACACTTGCACTGAAGAGTTGCTGCCAGCGACCATCGAGAGTAATGAAATAAATTATTTTATGACTTCCTCTATTAATATCTCTGTTTTCTACTTGCAGTAAGGGTGATATCCGCAGTATTCAACATCCTCACATTGTTTGTCTATATTTACGTTAGGAAGCTTCAGAATGTCCTCGGCAAATGTCTAATTTCTACCATAATCTGCTGGCTCATTCTGAATCTTTTGTACATATTGGATACATTTAAATTATTAAACCGCATTTGCCTATTAACAGGTTGGTTGTTAATATTGAATTCATTTCAATAATAGGAAAAACTACTAACAATCGTGTTTTTTCGTCAGGTTACAGTAGATACTTCATCGCGATAGCCAACAATCTCTGGTTCTCGGTGATAAGCTTACATTTGTGGAAATTATTGACGAACAGATTTGAGCAAACTTCGTTTGCTACCTACAGTGCCATAACGTGGAGCACGGCTGCATTCCCAACAGTAGTTATTTATTTAATAAATCTTATTTGGGAGGAGGATCTCCATAAATGGAACTGGATGCCCCTGGTTGGCTATTCTAAGTGCTGGTTGGAAGGTTTGAATTAAAGAAAAATGTATCTATGTTTTTACCCCATATATTTCCTTTCGTCTACAGCTTGGGGGCCCTCTTATTGGATATTCATTAAGGGACCAATACTGATCACAACGCTTTTTAATATAATGGTGTTTATTCTGTCGGTCAGTCACATTTGGAAAGTTAAAAGCGAACTGAGAATGTTTAAACAAGATGAAGAGAGGACTATACAATGCTTCAATTTCGACACTGAGACGTAAGAATTATTCCTTTTTAGAATTTGGAAAGCAGTCTAATATACATTTTACATTTCGTTCTCAGTTATCTAATGTTTTTGCGGCTTTCTTGTATCATGGGCACCTTTTGGATCTTGGAATTTTTGTATTGCTTTCAAGACTACACAATTTTTCAGCCTGTCTGGTATTTTCTCGTCTATATGGAAAAGGGTTTAGGAATTATCGTTTTTATTCTGCTCATCCTTAAGCGTAACACCCTAAAACTGCTCCTGGAGAGGTAAGTTCGCAATTCTTTCAAATATATTTTCGAATAACCAGTTCCCTGTTCTAGCAGAATTCGAGAAAGATGAATGAAATAATATCCAGACGGTGTTATATTTGCCCTTGGGAAACAGATTGAAAATGTTCCATTCAAAAAGTTTTAAAAACATTATAAATCATTTCATTAAACCATGAAAACTAGAAGGTCGTATTAAAAACGGTAAATCTTTTTTATAAGTAAGCATTTTTATTGTAACTTATACATATGTAAGTATATTTATTTTATTCTGGTATACCAAAATATTACCACATCACAATTCTACTGTCATATTATGTTTCTTTTGAAACGCCCTACATTTTATAACCGTTGGTTGAATATGAATATTATCTTAATATAAGAATATTATAACTTCAAAGACAGTTACCTGAACCAGAATAAGTACAAACAACAATAATTAAATTATATAAAGTACTTAACAAGTACTTAGCTATAAAAATAATAACAATAGTAGAGGGTTTTACAAAAACAATCATCTCCAAAAGATTTTGGTTTGATTCGGTTAAATTCTTAATGAGCTGTTAGCACGATTGTAAAGCGATTCTTCTTTGGAATGCAGTTTCTTTTATATTTAAAAATATTTCAACAACATTTACATTTCACCTACGCAGTAGATCAACCTTGTCCACTGAACTTAAACCTTTTCCAGACGAAGGACAATTTCGTTCTTGGACGCAAGGACCGGGCTGGTGGCAGCCCACTCGATCTCCTTAACGGTCTGGTCGCACGTGTGTACCCGATGGTTACGCAACAGGTGCACCAGGCCCAGTTTTGACTGAAGCAGACCCAATCGCATGCCGATGCAATTGCGGGGACCCACACCAAACGGCATATAGGCGTCCATGTTGAGCTTGTCACGGTTGGCCGGATTGAAGCGCTCCGGATCGAACTCCTTTGGCTCTGGCCAGTACTTCGGATCGCGATGGATGGCCAGAGTGGACATGTAGATGGACGTTCCATGCGGCAGCTCCATGTTGTGGAACGGTTCGAGGGTGAAGCGTTCACCCTCCGCCGGCTGCGAGCATTCGCGTTCAACGTAGCCGACGATCGGGTACTTGCGCAGTGTCTCGTTGACCACCTGCGATAGGTAGGGCATCTCCTGAATTCGCTCGTAGCTGACATGATCCTCGTCGCCGAAAAAGTCGCTGATTTCCTGCCTCAGGCGCTCCTGCAGATCCTCTCGCCTGGCCAGCTCGTAAAGGGCCAGCGTCATTGTGGAGGAGCTGGTTTCGTAGCCGGCTGTCTGGAAAATGGCCGCCTGGGCCACCAAGTAGTCCAGATCGAGCGCCTTTTGCGACTTCTCCGGATTGGCGGCAGCCTCGCGCTTGAAAGCCAGCAGGATATCGACAAGGTCGTTCCGCTTCTGACCGGTCCTCTCGCGTTCCGTCAGGACGTAGTTGATGCTGGTGCGGATAAACTTGGTGGTTTCCTTGGAGAAGAGTTTTACGCGGGCCAGCGTCGCCAGAGCGGGCAGCATGAAAATGATAGCAAAGTCAATGGCCCTTCCCAAGGTCACCGCAAAGATGGCCTTGTTGTGATAGAAGAATTCGCTCTTTGCGTTTTGCAGAGCGTTGGCCTCCAAGCCGAACGCTATGGTGGCTATCAGGTCGGTGGTGAAGCGGGCGCACAGATCCTTGACCTGGACGTTCGATCCACTGCCCAGGCGTTCCGCGCTGTCTTCCAGATTCTTTCCAATCTACGGAAAGAATTATGGTTTTTATTTCGGAACAAAGGTGGCAAAAATTATTCACTTATCAGTTGTAAAACACAACCATTTTGGAATTGAATACTTTATGAATCTCTCTTTCACTCACCTTCACCATCAGAGGATACATCTGCTTGATCTTGCCCGTGGTAAAGGCTGGCGATATCTTGGTGCGCAGCTCCCTCCACTCTGGACTGCGGGCAAAGAATAGGTTGTTGAAGCCAAGGGCATCGTTATGCGGATCCGTTTGCAGCACACGATTGTTAAAGTACTGGAACTTCTTGATCATCACCGTCTTGACCAGGTCGAGATCGCGAATCACCAAGGCCGGACGATAGGCCATGAAAACACCAACGAAGGGGGCGTTCTCGAAGCCGGGTGCCTCATGGAACTTGCGGATCTGCTCGAAGAACGGGACTCGAGCGGTCAGAAACTCGCGGGTGCAGCCCAGAAGGGGCACTGGGCGGATGTAGTTCACCCCATGGCGCTTCCAAAAGGCGAAGACCCGTCTCTGCCAGATATAGAAAACGATCGATAGGGTGGCGAGCAGTAGCAGTAGCTCGTTAGACATGTTGGAAGCTTCGAATGCAGGGAGCCACTATTGCTATCGCCTCTCCGTGGGCAGCTTTTAAGTGATCGCCAAAGCTTTTCCGGAGGCAGCAGCTGATCCATATAATATAGGGCTAAAAGGCAGAACTTAGATGCTATAATACGCTTATCGAGAATGCGCACTCTTGAAGCACTCAAAAAAAATAGGTGTATATTTATTTTATTTTAAGAACACCTCTAAAACGGCACGACTAACTTAAGAAATATCTTTATGTTTTTAAATAACATTTTTGTTTAAATAGCTTGTTTTTTATTTACAGATTATTTTGAGTTAAATTTAAATTAAAATCCTTTGTTGCTTAATAATGCCACGTACTTTGTTGAAAACACCCAATACTGACGAACTATTAGAAATATTTTTTTAAAGCTATGTGAGATGACAAAATATAAGATAAATATACATTGAACACACATAAGACCCAAATATTTTCTGAAAGTAAGTCCTTTTCCATAATCGAAATAAAATCCAATTTCTTTCTGTGTTTACACACCCCAACCAATGATAAGAGTGTTTAAAACGCCATTCAATGTTTGACTAGGCGAAAATTGCCGACACTATTTCGCTTAGGCCTCATGACTATGCAAAAATTTGAATGAATAGCGAATTAAGCCGATGCGAATTCCGATTTTGTTTGAACGAGTCAGCGTGTGTTGTTAGACTGAAGCACGCGTTGAGGGAACACCCCTGACCGGTATAACCGGAGTCCAAACGAACTGAATTGAGTGTTTTTGCTAGTCTGTGTTATCAGGGATATACTTATTTTTATTTTGATTAATAGTTGTTTGGCTTTCGTTGGGAACTGGTACGAGTTATCAAACTTTACAGGAGGAAGGAGGTAATTCAGACTTTATCTAGGAAGTCGATGTTTATATGTTAACAAATTAGATATGCATTACAATAAACATAAATGCGGTTACTATTTACTTATCCAATTAATGACAAAAATCCGGTTGCTGTTTCAGCTTTATACAAAATAAAAGATAAACTATTGCTTCAGCTAGCTTTTATATTGATTTTAAACGCTGAATGAAAATATTGATCTCGGAAATCCAAAATAAGTTTGTATAGCTTATAAAAAAAATAGACTTCTCGATCCTGCCAGGAGTCGAACCTGGAATCTTCTGATCCGTAGTCAGACGCGTTATCCATTGCGCCACAGGACCGTGTTAGAACAATCGGTCCAAAAGTCGTCAACATTATCTCTTTGCCGTAATGAGAAAAGCTTCTTCAGAACCGCACTCCCATTAGCTTAAATAAGTCATTGACGAGTGTTTTGATACAGCCCGGCTAGCTCAGTCGGTAGAGCATGAGACTCTTAATCTCAGGGTCGTGGGTTCGAGCCCCACGTTGGGCGAAAATCACTTTTTAGCAATTTTTTTGTTATTTGATAAATTTTGGTTATATTAATTCGTTTAACAAGCTATGCTTATCACGAGAAACAAAAACTAAGAGGGAAAGCACTCTCTCTGCTCGAAGTGCCGTTTTCTCGTTCGCTTGTTAAATATAAAGTAGGCTGTCAGCCACAGAAATGGGAACTCACTTAAGGGCTAGTATTAACCCAACAAAAAGTCGTCCAAAACAAAAAACTTCATATGAAAAAAATGTCAAAAAATGTTGTTTACTAGCCCTAACTCAAAACTTTAAAGGTTATATGGTGGTCATCAATGGTCAGGAGATTTATTAGGAAACCGCTGTTCCTGGTCCTCAAAAGTCCCTAAACACAATTTAAAAGCTATTTCATAATTCATCATATCACTAATATGATCGCGACATAACGATTTCAAAAAATACCTGAAGTCAAAAAAAACTGTGTATAAAAAAATTGTATTCCGATCCTGCCAGGAGTCGAACCTGGAATCTTCTGATCCGTAGTCAGACGCGTTATCCATTGCGCCACAGGACCACATGCCAACTCGAAGTCAAAGTCACACAAACCAAAGTGAGGAGCTTTTAAACTTCTCCGTCACTTCTTTATCGACATTTTATTTCAAGCTGTAAATAAGCTCTACAACTTCGTGTGTTTATTTTATTTTAACAGTTTTTATTTAAGACCGCAACATCTTTACGCACTCAAATGTTAATTAAACAATTTGGTTTATTTTATTTTACATCCTGATAATCGCAGATTATAATATTTTTTATAAATATGGAAATCTCATACATACTAGTTATAAATTAATTATTATTATTATTATTATTATTATTAGAAATGTTGTATCTGATTTTTCAATCCAAAAATCGATCATAACAGTCTACTTACCCCATGTATAGAAACTATAACTAGAGTAATTCGCTAGCTGTTTGCATTCAGAACGAAATACATTTTAGAGAATGCAACTCCACCCCCTCTGCAAGACCGAAGCCTGCAGCGAGCCAGCGCAGCGTCGGCAGCGAGCAAAGCGCACACAGTGAGGGCGAAAATCAGTGGGTCTCAGTCGCAGTCTCAGTCCGCCGTTGACTTTCGAAGTGTTCAGTTCCCCGAGTGCGAAAAGCCCCATTGGTGGCAGTCAATTAAAGACCAATCTTCAGACGCGAAGTGCGTGTTTTGGGGTTTGGCAAACCGAAACCTTTTGAGGCCAGTCGCTGTGGTGGTCCGTAACCTTTGTGTGAAAACGACTATCGGAATAATCGCCTAAATTGCCGACCAACGTCGTTGTGCGTGGGTGTGTGTGTTTCAGTGAGTGTGCAATGAAAAATCGCAACACAGAGTGGCAGAAGTAAAGAGAATTTCAGCTCGGGTAAGTTTCAGTTTGAAAGCCGTAAATCAACAAAAAATACGCGATTTTGCCGTTTTCTCTGATATTCTCGCTCTCCGGCGCTTCTCCCATTCTGTTTTTCACATGCTTTTTTGTTTTCATCGTCTGCTTCGGCTGGAAGCCCGAAGAGAAAACAAAGCGGAATTCCGAAAAAAAAAATCCTTTTCTTTTTTGTTATTTTGTGGCCGTAGTTGCTTTTGCTTGCTTGGTTCTTGTTGTTGTGGCCGTTTGTTTAGCTGCCGTTCCTTCTTTCCACTCACATTCGCCCGTATGTGCATTGGTGTGCTTGCGGTTCTCTCTCCATAACTCAACTCTCTTCTCCTTCCCTATGTGTGTTTGTAGGCCTCCGCAGAAGACTCGCTGCCCCTCTGCCGGCGTCGCGGTTAACTCGTTTAGCGATTCTGTTAATGTTAATGCAGGTCTAACATCGAGAGTTTCGATATCAAGAATTTGGATAAATGTTAAGTTTTTTAAAGTTTAAACACAATTACAATACCTACATATCATTTGAATTACGGGATTTTTCGGCGTAAGAGTGGGCGTTGCAATGCTTTTCTAGAATTCCTAGATTCTACATGAGATTATCCCAACTTTTTATACGCCGGACAGCCGAAAAGGATAGATCAACTTGTATAGTGTTCCTGAAAAGGTCGAAAACGATTTCAACCTGTTAAATACTTTTCAACGACCCTCCACTCTAGCCAATTTTTGGATTTACTAATAAATACTTAAAATTTATTTTTGTAACTTTATCATTATGCCTTTTGTCAGAGTCCTTATGTAGGGAGCATTTTCATTACGTTTTAAAATGGAATAAGATCTGGAAGCATTTATCGTTAAAGTTGTAACACACTGTAACTAATAAAATCCCGAAATTTCATTGTTACAATTACTTTCTTTAGATTTTGACTGACAAATTAAAAATATTCATTTAGGCAAGCGTTATTTAAAATTGATTTGTTTCTAACGAAACTTGTATTTAGGGTTATACTCCTTCAGTAACTCAAAAGAAAACTTTTCTGAAAAAGAGTCTTCTAGCCTTTTTGGCCCCATTAACCTGCAGAGTGGGGATACGGAAAACAAGTCTGGTAGGCCGAGAAACAACGTCGTCCATTTTGGGTTGCAACTCCGCCACAAGACTCTTCAGCGGACATTCGTTGAAAGCGAAAATAGCACAGAGAATGGTGCTGAGGCAGAGTTTTCGACGCGCGCTTCGCCTGTCTGAAATGTATCTCGCAGATACATATCTAAAAACTGCCACATAGAATGTAGTAGAACCAGACACTGGCAACTAAATGCGCGGCGCTCACACCGATGCAGTCTTTTATAAATATCCCGCCTGTCTTTCGGCCGCTTGCAATTTCATTTTCATTGCAACTTCATGCCCCTGACATCAGACTGAATGCCTGCCTGTCCGTCCGCCATCCCATCCGCCATCCGGCCTCCTCTGCATTGCAATTCTACAACGATTTTAGCTTGCCATCTCTTGCAGCCTTTTGCGCCGTCTGCCTGTTTCTACGCTCATTCTTCGACAATTGCAAGTTGTCGGACGGGAAGGCCTATTGAAGTTCTACCCCCACCTCCAATGTCTGCTCCCCTGTGCATGCGAGTGGGGGAGCTGCTCACCCTAACCTACACCACAGAGAACTTATTGCGTCGGTTCGTTCCATCACAGAGCCCTCATATCGCTTTATTTTGTATCTACGCGGCATACATTCTTCTCATTATCTTTTTTCTGCCTCTGTCTCACTTTTTTTTACTTTTTCATTGGTTCTCTCATCCTCTGCCTTCGGGTCGTGTGTGAAAACACGTTTCATTGATGCGTTTTCCGGCCTCTAAAAAGCTACTTGGTTGTCTTCCGATTTTCACAAAGCTCTTGTCCTCTTCATTTCAGTGATAACTCCATGAGTATGCGATCGGATCAAAGTGCAATAATAAGAAAGTAATTCACATAAGGAGTCAGTATATCAACAAAATTATAGAGGTAAGTTAAAAAACATAATTCTTAGATCTGCCGTGAGTTCACGGCAACTGGACCTTTTGTAAGCCAGTTTCGCATGGGCCCATTAGCTCAGCTGGTTAGAGCGTCGTGCTAATAACGCGAAGGTCGCGGGTTCGATCCCCTCATGGGCCAACAATCAATTTTTTTTTATTTTAATCCTTAAAATCTTTTTTTTTTATATGATTTCTCTATGTTTATCAAGTTTCTTATAATCAGCCGAATTCATCGTGGCCCATTAGCTCA